CATTACTGCTATCATCCTCCCAGAGAACTCTGGTACCAATTTGTCGAACCCGTAGGGATGGAAGCCTTGATGGACCAGGGGCGTGAGAATCGATCCCATGTGTCTTGCGGAGCGTCTCCGACCACTGCGCCACACGCGCCCTGCTGTAAGCGAGACAGTCCTTTTATTTAAAAACAATAGACTAGAATAGTAAACATTAAAACTCGAACCTTGACAATGTCCAACTACTTCCATATTCTCTAGCAAGGAGCATTCTTGCGGTTCAGCAGATGAGCTTGCCACCCAGGCTCCCACCTTTCTGTCGTTTCGGAATTCCGTCGCAGCGGCGGTGGGTCAAGGCCTCCATAGGGCGCCGCCGCGTTGCCGTTCTCGCCTAGCTCGGTGTGGAATCGATTCGACCACTACTGAACAATCAGTCATTCGACCGGTAGTCGAAAGGCTAATGGTTGCTCTACTGGCACTATGAAGTTGCTTTCTATACTGCTTTTAGCGTTCTTCTGTGAGGACACAAGGTCAGTCATAAATTTGTTTATTAATTTATTATTACATGACCCATCTTCACATCTGCTCTGTGGATATCAGCATTTCTTGCATTCGATTCATTTCTTCATATCCATCGTCCATGAAGGTGTCCCAGCTATTGCGCATGCGTTCGGCTGCCCCTTGCGAAATTTTCATATTCGCCACGAATGTCGTTGAACGCTGGTTGAGTCGATTCTCCCTGGAATCCTGAGATAGTCGCTCTTGGGGCCATCCTACGTCATTTGAGTAGGTTTGTTGAAGACAAGTCTGGTACCAATTTCCCGACCCTAGAGGCTTGAGAGGCTTAGTGAGGCGGGGGTTTACACAAATAATGGTCATAAATACCCCCTTCTTTAATAAATCATACATTTTTTGTAGGTACCGAATTCTTATTAATATGCAGTGCTACTTTATATTAACCACTAAGGTAGCAGTTATTAATAGAAGAGATTAAATCTGTTAAACAATGCACAGTAGTATGTGCTACGTTTTCTGCTTTATTTATTTGAGTGCACCGTTTCCCCAAAAACCGTACGTATTTTAGTTTTTATTCAATTTTCTTAGTAAAATAACCTGAGCATTATGTTTAAGGATAAGAACAAGGATAAATCTCTCTGTGTTGATAAATCATTGAGGGATGCGTCATCCATTCGACTACGTCAAGATTCGTTAGAGGTGATTGAATGCATCCCTGGCCTCTACAATGACTCGCGGTGGCCCATCGATGTATCGAGCCATTGCTGCTATCATCGCAGAAAAGTCAGCCACCAATTTGCCGAGCCCGGAGGGATGGAGGGCTTGGTGGGCCATGGGAGCAGGGATCGATTTCATGTGTGCGTCACAGTGGCGCATCCAACCACTGCGCCACACTCGTCCTTCTTCATGGTTAAAAGAAAAGCGAAGACACATTCACACACCACCCTTGACGTGATATCAAACCCCAAAATCTAACCCGTCTACGACATAGTTCCTACTCGTTGCTCATATTTTTTAAACGAGGCTTATATGGACCTCATAGGATTCGGAAAATGACAACATTTTCTTCCTTAACTCCTAGCATTTCCTTATTTATCATATTCTCTAAGGAAGGTTTTTTCTTCTGTTCATTCTGAGAGAATTTCACAGCTTTCACAGCATAAATGAGTTCTCACTCTAACATTGCGGTGCACGAAAAAATTTCGTACAGGATTTTTCATTCGGGAGTTACCGACTTTCAAAAAAGACGATGTTTATCGTTTCCAACTATTCTTCGAGAAATTCGGGAGCTTCATAGAATTGGAGCAATTTATTTCGGTGGAAATTGGTCTGTTCATCCGAGAAAGAGGAATTTTATCTTTCGTAGGCGTCGTTTTCTTTTCACTGACACTTCAACGTGGTAGGGTGACGATCGAACCGGAGATGGTGCACCCGTGGTGCCACACCGCCCACTAGTGCATAACTTCTAGAAAACTGCGAACTTGCCGTCTATCTGATCGTGAACGCGCTTTTTACATAGCACTGACGAAGAATCGTTTTCCGTAGAAAGTTCGTTTATCAAGACTTGAAAACACATCCTTCATTCCCTTAGTTCTTTTGGCTTCATCACTATGATCTCGTTCAGTGCAGATATAAAAAAAGCTTCATAGTACACTGCGCTCCACATAAGTTTCATTACATTTCGTTACGTGATTTATTTCTTTACACTATTGCAGTTTCAATTCTACTGTCAACATCTCCATTACTAGATCGTTTTGGAGCGTTGCAGTTTTTCGTGTTATAAAAAAAACGTTCTTGGCTGAAATGTTGGCAAATCGCGTCCAAGAATAACGGTTCACATATGGTCGTTGGTTCGATCCCGTACCCAGCACTCACCAAGCCTTTCATCACTCAGGGGTGGGCAAACTAGTACTGAGAGGGTAGAATTTCTGAATTGACACATCAGTAAGCAACCGGAAGTCGATGTATGGACCAGACATGCATTCAGTCACCCTCCAACGATTCTTGATGAAGTCGAATCCATCGCGCATCCCTCAGGGATTGATCAACGCCGAGAGCTTTATCCTTTATCTTTTTCCATGTTCAGGTTCTAAACTAACACATTAAGGTCAGCAGAACCACATACCTGAAAAAGTAAATACGGAGTCGAGTGATCTAACCTTGTAATCCTCCTAACAGCTCTGGAGTTAATTCGCTCAGTGACCTCAATTCTGTTAAACGAAGCGGGACATATGGAACGAGCCAGGAATTTTTATGCAGCATTTTCTAAAATTTTAATTAAAGACCGATTTCCCCGTAGGAAACGTAAAATTGGGTAGCACCTAATCCGCCTAGGTAATATTGATGTTAAAAGAACAGTATTATCAACAAATCGATCGCCAATCCCGAGTACTAGGTTTCCCACTTCTTTAACAACTTTCTTTATGTCAATGGAAGTGTCGGTGTAGAGTGATGAAATTCTAGTTTGGGGGCCTTGTATAGCTCATGAGTGGTTACTGAGAACTAGATGGACACGGAGGCATGCTTCTCCGGAGTTTTCATGAGTCCTTTTCTTCCGAGGACATTTTCGAATCGATGCGTGTAGGCTAACGCTGTCTGTTGTCTCGCGCTACTTCAGTGAGTATCGTTATCATGAAGAAACATTCTGTTTCCCGCCGTACCTTTTTGGACCTATGCTTGCTCACATGGATGTCCGTTCTCTAGTGATTGGCCAATCGAAATGGGGAGTTTCCGCATTTGTCTATCAGGCTTCCTGAGACAACGTGGTCCTACTGATTCGCCGTCGATCTGCATTTTGACAGCCAGCGTGTTGTTGACCAATGAATGTCGATAAAAACCATCTGAAGAATACAACCACAAGTTTGCTGAGACATTTGCAAAACTCCGGACCGCAGGTGGGTGTATGCGGTGGGGAACGAACACGCTATTGTCCTTTCCGGGTAGTGATGCGTTCACCACCACACCATGCGGGTCCTTCGTTTCACCTGTCTCTCAGCTAGTTCTATCGATCTTTGCCGCAGCAATCACCCGTCAGCGGGATTGACCAATTTTAAATATCTCAGCAATACTGTAGTTGTATTTCGCTTAAATACCCTGCCATAAAATTTATAGAAGGTAGAAAATGAAAAATAAAACATCTAAAGATTGTCAGAAACTCTTTATTTTGGATTTTTCAGTTCAAGAAACATCCTGTTTTTTTTCCTGTGAAAAAGACTTTCGTTTTAATAAGGTGTTGATCGCCAATATTAAATTCGAGGCGACAATGATACCAATTAGGGAAAGTTTCCCACTTGCTGTGATGAAGATATTTCTGTTATGGCATTCATAGTGATAGGCTTCCACTTCCAATTTTGAAGGGAAGGTTAGAGGAATTGTGAGTTATTACTACTACAGGTTTTAGCCATCATGATGAACTCAGATAGGCCTTCATCTTTCTCCTTTCATTATAACAAGAGCGTCCTCACGCGATGTTCCTCAAGCATTCCTCTGAGGCCAACCGTGCCGTTGAACTCGCTCATGATGAAATTTTACGTTATGAACACTCTGTAGAACCTCTCAGATCCCATAAAGAACGCTTCTTGTTTTTGTCGTAACTTAATATTCTGGCGTAGAATGTGACGAATACTGAAGTCAGCATTGGTCCACATAATTCTAGTCGTAAAATTAGGATTCTATCCTGATTTTCTCAGCTTGCTACGAAACACGTTTGCTGAAGGATCATGATGCTAGCATACGCGATTTATGAGGATAGATCGGCAACATAGCCCTTCCCAAACTAAGCGGCTGAGAATAGTACCAAACAAGGTCTTCTTATTTCAGCTTCTCCATGCTCTCCTACACAATGATGGGATTCTCTCGGGTTCACAGAAGTGAAGACCTTTGCTCTGTTTTGTTGTTGTTTTTTTTGCTTCTGACAAGACTTTGATTCACTTCAGCTTCAAGACTCATCGCCTTAGGACGCGTTACGCAGGCTTTTGACTAGCCGGCTAGAGACCTATCAGTAAAAAAAGCTGGTGGAAGGTGAAATAAATAAAGAATAATGATAAAGTGTTCAGGTCTTATCAATTCCTAAGACATGCTTCATGCATTCGACTTCATCAAGCGTTGTAGAGGTGATTGAATGTATATCTAGCCTATGCAATAATTCACCGGTGGGCTAACGATGTATCAAGTCAGAGCTCCTGTCCACTCACCATAGTCTGATAGTAATTTATCGATCGCGAAGGGTTGGAAAGCTTGGTGAATCCGGTACCGTGGTCAAACCAACGATTACGTGTCTGTTGAGTAGCACCCATAACAATGGAGCTACACGGGCCTTGGGATGATGAATTAGAAAAAAAACGAAACACTGAAAAAGCAGCAAAATTGTTCAGAGTTGAATTTTACTATTGCAAGATTTACTAGCTATCTTTTGTCTATCCTTTGTGAGTACTCTCTTTACATTGAAGGTGTTATAAGTGCCATCTGCCATTTCCAATTTCAGATGTCATTGTCCTCATCTAATGGGTATGATGAAGAAAGAAGAAGTAAATGGGCCTTCTCCGCCAAGCTCTCTTCCCGAAGGAGATAAGGTTAGTTCACGAAATTTTTATCTCCAAACGTAATTTTTGAGCAGCGATTGAAACGACCATTGAAAAAGGTGCTTCAAGAAAAGGTAAGTAGAGATAAATTAAAATCGCTAGTTGCCAAAAAAAGTAGGCATCAAGAACAGGTGAAAAGGATGACTGATTTACTCACAGTCGATGGAGGTGAAGTAGCAAGCTGCTAAGTAAATCTACTTGAAATTTCGTTCGAATTCGACTGGAATGCAAATATTGGACAAATTGGACGAGAAGAGCCTATAGGAGAGAAAATGAAGAAGAAGCAGAAAACAGAAGTTGAAAGAGTACATTAGGCGACAGATGAATGAATTCTCGGATGTTTCGCTCATGAAATAAACAAAGAAAAAGTTGACCACCCGGCCAGAAAACTCTTTTTCATACAGAAAATCAAACTATTTACTGAAACGCAGAGAGAAGAGTTGTATTGAGAACTTGGTCTTTAGTCAAATATAATTTTTGTAGATGTTTCAGTAACGCAATTATAATTTCAGACTCTCGTGTCCCTTAGTGTTTTAAATTACTAACGATTCTACAAAATATGTTATTGACTTATAAAGTACTAACATTCAATTTCGTTTATAATTTTTGTCATTTTTATTCTAGGAAGTTGAATGATTATTACTTCTCTTAAGTACTTGGACGGACCATCTTCATAAGTAGTGCTGCCCTCAGCACGTTTTCCATTCGTTCCTTTCTCACGCAATCGTCGTCCACAGTAATGGTCAGCGTAGAAAATGGTGTGAGGTCCATTCCGTAATACCAAGATCGTTCTCATCTGCGAGTGCAGATGGTTAACGTTAGCCACAAGCACGATTACCCGTCATCTTGGTGGTTGTCCCAGGAGACGTTTACATCCTCATGGAGTCCACTTTACGGTTCCTTTCGTCAATATGTCAATTCTTGTCATAATATGAGTTCCCTTGTCGTCGAAGGTGCGTAGATTTCGAGGATCAGAGCTTCGCATTCCGGCTAGATATTGAGAATGACGGTTGTGTTGCAGAAAACACCAGTCAAGCGCTTTGTAGGTGGTGCGCAGACTTCTGGACGTGGTTGAAATATCTGCCTACATTTTTGCTGCATAACAGAGCACTGGGAAAACTGTTGAATCGAAAAGGTGAGAGCGGATTTTCGGATTCCTAAGCTGGTCTACTTTGAGAGGCCTGAAAGCGTCCCAAACTGCTCTCCTTCTTCTAATTCCTCCTTCATGTTGTTTTTCATATTCACTGGACGCCCGAGAAACGAGGTGGTTTCTGCAATCAGAGAACCATCTAGTTTAATTTGTTCGTCATCACACCATAGGTTTTTTTTGAGCTGAATATTCTTCCGGTTTATGCGTAGTGTCCGATTGTTTTTCCCGCTTCTTTGAGTTGATTGAGTATGGTCTTCGTCTCGTTGTTGCTTCTTGAGAAGACGACGATATCTTCAACGAAACGAAGACCTGACAGGAATTTTCCATCAATACGCATGCACTCCTCACTCTCATTGAGTGATTTTATTATTCACTATAGTGTGAGACTAAACAGCTTTGGCGACATCGTAGCGCCTTTGTCGAACTTCTTTTCCTGTGGGTATGATGAGCAGTTGACAAAAAACTTTATATTTATACTGCACTTTCAATAGTAGTCAGTTAGTGTTCGTATATAGGATGGGTCCATTCTTTGGTCGACAAGTGTTGCTAGGATTGCATTCAAGACGCTTTCTCATTGTCAGTAAATGTTAGAACAAAGGATGGTGCTCTGACAGATTTATATGACCCGTCACAAGGTTTTGATGTGGTCCGTGCCATGCCAGCAAAATCCATGCCAGAATCCTCCTTGCTCATCTGTTTATGCATCATCTAATGTCTTTGACATGCTCAACAGGATCGTGAAGTGCTTCGTAACTTCGTTAAATGCCTAATAACCATAAATCCCTGGACGGTTTGTTTCTATGGTGAGTTATGTTGATCGAACACAAATTTTACTTCACGGGTACTCTGATGGTAAAACGATATCCTAACCCTTGGAATCTTGACAAATCCACTAACCTGGTGTTTACTATCACTTTTTATTCTTCAGTTTCTTTCGCTCTCAAATTTAGTTCATTGCCATAGCACTTAATAAGTCAAAAGACCGACTTCCTATGAACCTCGGCATAAATAGATGATATATTTATTTATATGGTCTTATATACTGATCTTGTTGAGTTGATATGGGGATGGTATAAATTTTCGTTGTCGTTGTAGTTTGTTGTTGTCGTCGTTGCCGTTGTTGTGAACGAAAAATTCGCATCAGCTCAACAAGATCAGTATATAAGATCATATAAATAAATATATCACAGGAGTATTTATGAACCACGTATTAGAAGGAGAAGAAAATTTCGAGTGCTTACAAGCTACTTCAATCTCGAAATGCAGTTTTAGCGGGTCTTTCGTAGAATTTCAAGATTGTCGAGTAAGACTTTGAGGCCCTGGTGTGGAATGTCCATTGATGATACCATACTGTTGTATACTACAGCGACAAAAACTAGAGAAACTAATGCGTCGTTTTCCTGTTCAGCAATCGCGAGGTTTTTAAACAGCATACATTTACTTCCATAAAAAAAAACACAATACAATACAACGCTAGCTGACGTTTCAACAGTATTACCTTTTTCAGAGCCGCTTTTTCGTGACTTATATTGAGAAGAAGCTTGAGAGAAGCTAATATTTCAAAACCGACTTTCCTTTAACCCCGGTAGTACATACCAACATCAATTTCTTCTTTGATGAGCTTACACGAGGTTGATAAAGGCATTTATTGTCGACTAACGTTTCGACGTCTTCGTCTTTATCAGAGCCGGTGTTTCGAGTCGATAGTCCACGCTTGTCTCGACGTGGCGACTTCACCTCCGTGTCGCGTCGGGTCTTCCTCAGCGTACTATCTCCTCGAATGAGGCATACTAACTCGATGACGCCCGTTTAATCCCTCAGGGATGGACTATATATTAGACTCTATTAAGAGCTTGTTGAATGCATATTTGGCCACTACACTAACTTCCATGGACCTATCAACATATTAAGTATAGTATTTTTCTTATCCTTCCTAGCAATTCGGCACTAGCCAACTTTGTACGGCTGGAAAGTTTGGTGAGTACAGTGCGCAGGAACGAACCAAAGACCACGTGTGCATTGCAGGTCACCTCTAACAGCTGCGCTACACGTCCCGTGCGATATTTTACACTTTTTTTAAACATGATCCGACATCGCATACCATATTTTGCGTAGCTCAGTATTTTTTACATTAGGTTCACTCCATCGCGTCCATCACCCACGATCGTCTTCGAACTTTTATGTGAGGATTGGGTTGCCCTGCGCGACAATCTTCACCTCCGTTATCCCAGTCGCCGAATGTTGGTCGAGTCGATTATTCCATGAGTCCTGAGATGGCCGTGTGAGTGCGTTCCCACGTGGATTGGAGCCAATGAGCATGCATATGCACAAAGCGTACCTTACTTGAAGGCAGAATCAATTATAAAGAAAAGAGGGAATTTTCCTAGTTTGCGGGAATATTTCGTGCTGAATTATCGAAGATTCCAGAAGGTATTGCTATCAGGACGAGAAAAAAAGCGAACAGCTTACAACTAGTAATATATTGCCTTCTACACAAATAAGGTTCGTTAAATACTTTTACGTTGGAAGACGAAACGTGCTGCAAATTTGATTTAAGTTTTCTGTTCCTGTTTCAACCATAATAATATTAATAACGACAATAAGTAGCAATAGTAAAAATTATAATAAATAATAGTAATTAACTAATAATAATAACTGTTAATAACGATAATAACTAGTAATATTGATTAATAATAATAATCAATAATAACAATTAATAACAGCAATAACAATAACAGTAATAGTAATAATAATAATGCTGACATATTTGGAAAACTCCGGACCGTAGGTGTTTGCGGACGGGAGTGAACGCGCTATTACCCTTTCCGGGGGCTAACGCATTCACCATCGCACCATGCGGGTCCTTCGTTTCCTGAGAGACAGGTGAACGCGTTAGCCCCTGGAAAGCGTAATAGCGCGTTCGTTTCCCAACACGAACACCTGCGGTCCGGTGTTTTAGAAATATCTCAGCATTATTGCGGTTGAGCCACATAAAACAACCTGCAGTGAAAAATTGTAATAGGCGGTAAATAAAAAGATAATATAGTAATAATAATAATATACTAATAGTAATAATAATAATGGTGAAAATAATAAAAATTTTTTACATTTTTGATTAACAAGCTAACACAAGGTTGTAATGAAACTGTCATTGGGCTAACGATTCGGCCTCTTCTCCTTCTTCAGAGCCGTGGCAATCGGAGTCGCTCGTCAACAACCGTTCATTCGTGGATCCTTTTGCTCGCATCAAGTCGAATGCACTGAATGCGAATGCAAAGTCTTTTCCATAATCTTGAACTATTAAGCACCTCTCAGTTCTTTCAGTTGATCTGCTTGTTGTAGAAAACCAGCAAGTCGCCGGAAATTAGGCGTAGTTAAGTGAGCGGCGATGAGAAATTAAGGGCGGTCATTAAAGGGTTAGGAAAGTGAAAATCTTACTAGTTTAATGGATTGGGGTATGCTGGTGTTGCAATGTGCTTTATCCAGTGTACTATTGCACTTCATGTTAGTTCGCTAAATAAACGAATTAAAGTTTCATTGCTTCAGAAAAAGCCTCCATTTTATGAACAAAGAATTATGGTCGTTATGATAAGTAGGTGCAATGGTCGGAGGCGCCCTGTGGAACATCGATCCCCTCGTCCATGGCCTACAAAGTCTTCCATCCATCCGGTATCGATAGTTTGGCACCAAACTTGTCTGGGAAGAAAGCAGCGCTGGCTCGATATATCGGTAGGCCACAGCGAGTCATTGTAAAGGTCAGGTATGCATTCAGTCACCTCCAAACGATGCTTACTTACTTACTTGATACTTGAATAGCCCGTCCTCACTGGTTGTGCTGAGCCCAGCATAATCTCCATTTTTCGGAGATTTGTTGGCTAACCCATTATGGTTACCTGGAGTCCTGAGGTCAGCCTGGCTAAAGTCTGCCCCAGGTCTTCACCAGCACAGGCAGACGCAGTCCTTGTGAATCAGAGGCAGATTTACCACCTTGCGACTTTGATACCAGGACGGCGCGATGGGCCCTGGCATTGGTTTACACCTAGCTAGGCTTCCTGATAGAAGCGCCAGACTCCTCATAGTGGGGAGACCCTGCCAGGAGATGAATCCCCCGCTGTACATCGCAGTCCGACACTCAGGAACACCTCCTAGCCACGATGAGGCGGTAAACGGTTGGGAAGAACGATGCTTAATGAAGTCGAATGCATGGCGCATCCATCAGGATTGATCAACGCCAAAAACTTTATCCTTTATTTATTTATGAAAAGTAGCAGCTATGTTTCGTTGAAAAGCAGCGTGAACACCTTGGTCTCAGCGCCATAGTAGGCAGTTACGAATCAGTTTCAGTCGGGCGGTGTAGACTTTATCATTATGCATTCGAGTCGAATGCGCGATCGACTATAAACGATGTTGATGGGTTCGATAGAATGATAATCCATTGCATGATCGACATTTTGGGCTTATTTCTTAACGCCCATAAAAAAGTTTACGAGACATAGGAGACGGCGGTAACGAGCAACAAACGTGCGCAACGAACGTGCTTTTGGTCGCTTGATGAACTCTGTGAGACGTCATTATCGCCCGAAGGCAGAACATGCACTTCTTCGAAACATGCATTTAGATCCTAAATGCTGAATACACGAACTATGCTATGAGATTTTACTTGGGCAGCTCTTTTTTTTTCGAGTACCTCATGAAGTGTTTAACATAAATAAAGCTGATCGTTCATCGTGATATCCGACCCTACTGGAATGATGGACTCGAATGAAAATTAGATGAAAATCTCTAACTCTTGTCTATCTAAGAAGGTAACAAAAGCTATTGCAATAGCTCCTTTTTTAAAATTTCTAAGACATCCTAATGACAAGATAAAGTCAGACGTGATCTAACACAAGTACGCCTTTTCCACTCTTTTCCTAAAGGCATCAGTAGTGCTCAGTGTGCTTCGCTCGCACCCATTTTCCGTCTCCTGAGTAAGATCCACAAGGATGGTCAATTTGTCAGCGTTTTCTTCTGAAGCAGACACGACGTTGTCAATAGCAAGATTTATTCAATAATGGCCCACGTTTCGGCAGCCAAGCTTTCTTCAGGGGTTCCAAAAATTTATGTATTTGGTTTTTTTGCTGATATTTTGAAGGTGCTTGACTGAGCGGCATTTCCAAGCTCAGAAGAAGGCGAAACCGCTCAAACGTCAGCCAATATTGAATAAAACTTCTTCTTAACAACCTTGTATATGGAAATCAAGAAAGAAACATTGACTTACGGAACAATGCCGAGGTTAACAGCAAGTCGGTCCTGGGAATTAGTTGGTTTATTTTGAAAGAAAAAGATGGAAAGGCTATCAAAGTTATTATTTAGTCCGATACTCTGCTCATTTGCTGCATTTACTTTAGGGAATAAGTAAAGAGATAGTAAAAAGATTTATTACTGGCAACTTTTATACAATTGGGCACTATTAGTCAATTTATCAGAGTCGCCTCTCCAAGCCTATTCAACTTCTCGGTGATATTGTCGATTTTTCAACAACTGTTTTGTGTATTTATTACAGCATTACAAAAGGTGAAGCAACAATCTGGAGAGATTTCCCTTAAAAGAATTTGTTTTCGAAAAGGGTAAAGTTTAAAGTTGTGATAATTTTGAGAAGCTAAAATTATTTCAAACCATCTTCTTTGCTTTGCGCGACCAAGCACAGCATAATTAAGCGCTCGTTACTCGCGCCTTTTCCTTGAAGCCCCAGACACTACCAATATCTTATTGCGCTACTGGTCAACTGTTGGATGATTTGTCTGATGAGGAACAAAATAACCTCATATCCACGCGGTAGTTCTCCGTAACAGTTACGCATGGCTAATCATCATCAGTTAAGCGAATGTAACGACATAGTGGCCACATTAGGCTGGTCGCACACATACCTAAGTGGCGGCTAGGGTATCGACGCTGATGAAAAGCGACGTCATGATTGCCCAGACTCACGTAGATACATTCCGAGATGGAGTCCTTGTTCTTACCGTATCGGAATGGTATATGCTTCCGTAGAGCTCAACTGTATCCTACACAATAATTCGGCCGATGATCTAGAATTATACCTGATACTTGATACTTGAACTGCCCGTCCTCACTAGTTGTGCGGGCCTCAGCATAATCACCATTTTTCAGAGATTTGTTGGTTAAGCCATCGTGGCTCCCTGGAATCTCGAGGACAGCCTGGCTTAAGTCTGCCTCAGGTCACCACGGCAGACAGTCGCAGTCCTTGTGGATCAGAGGGAGATTTACCACCATGCGACTTTGATACCAAGACGGTGGTGGATCCTGGTATTGGTTTCCGGTCTGGTCTCTAGATCCGAGAGATCTTGAATTATATGATTAATAAGCCAGTGCAAAAACTGTAAAATTCGTCCCGAACAAAAGAACTACTCACATTCTCTGGTAGATACCATTAAGATATAGTTGGGTATGTTCAGCCCCAAGCGAGAGCTCAACAGGCTTCTGGTAGTGGTAAATCGCCACAGCCATCAGAAATAAGCGGCTTCATTTCTCTTGCACCTAAGAAGCCCTTGTTATGACATAATGTGATGGAAAGGCTCCAGAAATCTTGTGCTTTGCTGCGTATATCTAGAAAGAAACGATATTTCCTTACAGCGCATTCATAGTAGCACTTGGATGCTCCCTTGAATAACTGACTACTCAGGTTGAGATGACCAAGTCGGACAGCATAGTGACCAACACAGGAGTACACAGCAAGTTAAACTCCATTCATGATTCTAGAAAAGTTTTTTCCTTAGAACGGTGGAGAATAAAGCAATGCGTGGAGCTGCTGTTCTTGCTAGTATGAGCTTGACCATAAATATTGGTTTCATTACTCCACTAGTGCCGAGTTGACTAGCAAATAGGACGACACCTAATTTGATGTTTTAACCACATGGTTTCGCAAACGATGACTTTTCAACAAGTAGAACACTTGAGAAGCAGAGAACATGACCTAATTGTAGAACAGACTCTGCTCTACTCTTCGATTGGTATTACTGATATCAGTGCTACTATTTGCTATATGTTACTATGGTCCGTCTTAGAAACATATTACTATCAGCACTTGGTAGTGTTTTTCCAGCTTAGGTTTGATCATTTTCTAAATTTTTATACTCGTCTATTCCATGAGATAGCCATGACTCATTATAGCGATTGGAATTGAAACAGTATTTATGTGCTAGTAGAAATAGCACTCATGAACTCGCTCAAAAACAGGGTTATGCATATTTCTAAGTACAGTCGTTAATCCACATGCGCCACAGCATCTTTATTGAAAGTACTATCAATTGGTCATGAAAAGTGTGGAAAAAACCACCGTGCAGCAAAATGAAAGGGTTAGATGTGATATATATCTGCACCGATAAATTAAATAACTAACGACCTTCAGCGCAATTTTCGGTTGGAAAAGAAATGAGCCATCGCTGGCTTTGAAATCTGTCTACGCCTCAGTATAAGATATGAAGAAGACGAGGTTGAGCCATTCTATACTGATATGGAGAACTTTCACAGAGAAGATCGCATATTCTAAAATATTGTCAATGGGGATGTCAGCGTTATGATTGGCCACAAGATAAAGTTTGAGAAATTTTACATAAGGGGCGGAAATGAGCAGACATGTAAAGCACCCATTGAAGTTGACCGCAATGAACTAGAGCACTCGTAATCAGTTACAGATCCAGAAGACCTATTTTCATTAGATCTTTGAAAAGCTGGGAAGAGCATCCGAACACCGCTGATGCCGAAAGTCACTTTATCTTGAGGAGCAGTGTAGATGTAGAAGTAAGATCGCTCACGCGTTCTCAACCTTTCCAAATTTCCAAACCACTTTAGCAGCCATGTGCAACTATTCCATGTCGAATTTAAGCATGAATATGTTTATTGGGTTCACGCTGATAACGAACCGCATACGTCCTATTTAGTAGAGGATAAGACTCGGACACTTCAGGAACTTACCAAACCATCAGTACTGACAACAATATTGAACAGCTCCCTCATCACTTAGGTGCAGACACTTTCTGTAGGTTTTATAGAAAAAATCTCTACACAAAACGCTGATAGAGGTAACCACAAGACTGTATAACACCTGTAGTAACCACACTTTTTGTTTTAGGGATGGGATTTTGATCCCAGTGGAGCACCAGGAGCAGTCCCCAAAGAACACTACATCCAAACCACATTTGTCCATCGAAGCGAAAGCAGTAAGCTCTTTTACAAGAATTTCATTCCCTATTAGGACCCCAATCGAAGGGTTGGAAAACATGACGACTGTCTAAATGCTCTGAGTTTCTATAGTGAATAGTTTAGGCTGTTTGGAAACTAAATTAAGATTTGCAACTTCATTTTTCTTGTATATGGCTTCGAATCCATTTTTTATGAGTCACGTGTTATGACTATTATAGAGGGCGGATAGCACAGTGGTAGTGATGTCCGCCATCACGAGCATGGTGCTAGTTCGATTCTACTCCTGGCTAACCAAGCCTCTCATCCCTTCGAGGTCAGGAAATTGGTGCCGGACTTGTCTAGAAAAAAAAGCACTCTCTGCAATCCAATTGGGAACTCTCCAGCCCGGCTATCTCACGACTCCATGGAGAATTGATCGACCAGCATTCTACGAAATTCAAAATGAAATGGAAATCCCTCAACCAATAACCGAAGCCACACGTAAAAGCTATGAGATCTTCGTGGACGAGAAAGAATGGACGAGATGCGAGAAAGCGAACAGAATGTGAGAAGTGTTGAGATCCGAACAGTAGACATGAAGACGGATCAAATAAAATAAAATAAAACATGTACTATTATATGGCAGTGCAAAACCTTATTTCATGCATTTCGCTCTATGTAATCTAATAACAATGTAAATCGAATTATTGAAAGATTTTACAGGTTAGAACTAGAGATGTCGAAGCAGAAATTTCGATAAATCAACTTCTAGTAAAAGGAACTCGAACGAGGGAAGCACAAACGGTTAGGAACATTGATGAAGTATGGAGCTAAGTAATAGTTCCCAGGATCGACTTTCTATTAAACTCGGCATTGGATTACAAATTCGTCGTTTTTTTCCTCAGCAAAGGAGCTAAGTAAATTGTTAAAGAACACATAGTGCAATGGTGATTTGACGAATTCTGTTGTTGGAAATGTGGAAGGCCGCGAACGCCCTTCTCCCACTGACAACGATGAAGGCTTTGTCGGAAGCAAAGAGAAGTGTGAGCACAAATGGTCGAAAACTTGCAGAAGAACTCGTATGAATTCGAAGTCGTATACCTGCATACATTCCATCTGTTTCAAGAACATGTGAAGAAGATGGAAAGTCGAAGAAGCTCGACAAGTGGACGCTATACGCGCGGCCACACGTCGCAATGCTGACGCTGCAAAGCTTGAACGAACTGTGCTACGAAACCTTGCCTCGCCGACCGTACTCGGTTGTGCTCTTGCCTGCCTACTATCTTTTCTCCAAGAATCCCGACAAATTCCTTGACGAAGAATGCTCCAAAAACCAAATCGAGGCCGAAACTCTCTTCAGTAACTCCATTGTAATCAAAATTACGAAGTTATAAGCAATGGGAATGAATAAACTTGGATACAAATTTGTATAGTATGATGGTTTCTATTTCAACTGATAAAATCTGTTCCGTGCTGAAGTATGTCACTTTACAGGTTGACATCTTACGTTGGTTTCTGAACAACCTGGTATTATTCTAGCCGGACTAAAAATAACGTTGTTATAAAGATTTTTGTGAAACATACATAAGCACACGCATATGTAATTATAAATAAGGTTTATCTGCTACACCTTTACCTTTAAAAACTAGCGACTTCGTCGTAGATCACTTCGAGTGAAACTTTGGCAGTATAACATCACAATGAGATGGGGTTTCATACAACAACAGTTGAGTGCAAGATTGCAGTAGCACATGCCAACATACAGAGAGGTGTACTCTGCTATCTCAGTCGGATTGAAAATAACCTCTGAGGAAATATGAATTTTAGAGCCAGAAAAGAACTATGCTGCTTTGGTGTTGTCAAAGCTTGGAGAGCTAAGCGATCGTTTACGTCAGCAAGCCCGTGTAACCGTCGATAACGAAGTCGTGAGTTTAGGACTCTTCTCCTAGGGTTTCTCTAAAATATGTGATAGCGAAAATATTCAACAATCAGATCTCCTGTGTAGACGACTCAGAACATTATCGCTGTGCCGATTTTCAACGAGATCGTACGTATCACTACCTGGTCGTAGAAGATTCGTAAGTTAAATGTCTATCTATAGAGATTCTCATGTTCAAAAAATATTCAGATTCCTCCTGAAAAAATGTTAATAAAAATTGCCGCAATGTTTTTAATTCGTGGAATCAATTGTCGATTCTGTATTCACACCTCATACGTTCCATAGTGAAGGATTTCAAAGGAATGCAAAAGTATTTCTGCCTTTCTCGATGACTTTCATGTTTACTGAAACAAAATTTCATAATGCTATTAGGTTCATCAGAAAATTCTATGGTACCTTCAGCACTGACCTTTTTAGATGTTTGTTCAAAGCAAATACTGGCAATGCATCTGATAAGAATGGTTGTAACCGCTGCAACTTTTAAACTGTAATTTATGATCTAGGCAAGTTCGGTTACTGAAAAATCCCACTAAACTTGATACTGAGTCTTCTGTGTACTGGCGCACGTGGCGCTTTGGTTAGAGATGGTCTGCAACACACATGGTCTTTAGTTCGATCCCATGCCCTAGGCTCACCAAGCCTTACATCCCTGCTGGGTCGGCAAATTCATTCTAGAGGGAGAGTACAGCAGTGGCTTGATATATGAGTAGGCCTCCAGAAGTCGTACTAAATGCCAAATATACACTGTAACCTCTCAAGATGATGAGTGCATGACGAATTCTTAAGGGACTAATCGATACCGAGAACTGAACATCGGATTTGATTTCTTACCATACACTGAGCACGTCCAAACAGAAATTCCTACCCCACCCTTCGTATTTACCTTTGCACAATTCGAATTACTCGTTTTACGGGTTTTCGTATATCAACTGCAAGACAAAAGCTTTTTCGACAAATTCGAAATCGAAATCAACAGCCAGAATTTTTCGCGTCTTTAGCAAGTTTTGTCGGCGGATATCCAGAAGCTAGCAAAGCCTTTGAGAATCGTAACAGATAACAACAATGTTTCGATTAATCCAACAATTCAACTTTCCCACCACTTTTTCACTTAAGGCAAAGCAAATGAAACAGAAAAATTTCCGCCTAAATGAAATTGTGCCAGTTCATAGGTCAAAGGGAGCGTCTGTCTACTCTTTGGAACAGCATCTGAATGAAAAAAATCCAGGGTCAACAGAGATGGCGTTACTGGAGTAAGAAAGCATCTGTTCGATACTATATTAGTGCTACATTTTCAGGTTACTGTAACCTCATTCCAGTGCCCTTTCGCGTCACTCTCCACAACCTCTTACCATCTACGCGTCCGAGGAAGCAGAACACGAAGTCGGATTCGTACGACAACTCTCTGCAGAGGAGCTGCAAGCCGTAACGAAGCCGCGTCAAATCGACTCTGAGCGGTTCAGCCCCAGCGAACTCAACCTCATCGACACGGATCTCTTGGAGTTCAGGTCTACTTTTACACTTTACACATGATGATATAATAAACAAAATAATCTTGCGGATAAGTGTTCCATGAAGAAATGAAATAAACCTTTATGAGACCTAACCTGTAACACCGACATGTCATACGATTAGGAGATATTTAAAAAAACCAAAATATAGGATTAGAACACTATCAATAAATCCAGAATTACTATGGATAGAGTGTCACGTTTACAAGAAATCCTCTTCATGGGGACTCGTGTAGCACAGTGGTTAGAGGCGCCGCGCAATGCATACGTGGACATTGTTTCCACATCGCACTCCCGGCTCACAAAGCTGTTCATCTTTCCGGGGTCAGCACATTGGTAACAGAGTTTCTGAGAGCGCGAAAACACTGCTTAGTAGATCGGTAGGCCATCGAAAGCATTGTGCAATATCACCTGATATGCATTCATTCGTTTCTGCAATACTTGATGGCATAGCGCATTCATCAGGGGTTGATCAACGATGAAAATTTAACCTTTTTCCTTACCCATTTATGCTAAAAGAGAATAAAGAAAATCACTTGATCAATGCCGAGGTTAATAGAAAGTCGGTCGTGGCAGTTACTAAAAGAGAATATCGACAGACCATCTGTTGTGTCAATTACAAGAAATCCTTTTTCCTTTGACTCGAAAAAAGAAACTTCACTTCAAATATCACCTTTTTCTAAAAACATGACTAGTGGAGAGCTCATAGAACTCATGTGAAGCTTTAGCGACACAGCGTTTCCTGATCGTGGATCCCTTTCATGCAAAGGATTTCAAGACGGTTAATCGGAGAAGTACCTGATGGAATTTTCAAGTGGAGGATAGATGTTTCGCTTAGTTCGAGAGCAAAGCGAAGGCATTCCAAATGGAGAAAAGAGTGAAACGGTAAGCAAGAAAAAAAAATGCGAACTTACTTGTGATGCAGGTGGGATCAGGGCATCAGAGCTGTTCTACCGAAAGCTTCTTGACACGTGCATTCGTACTCAAGCATGAGGTACTTGTGTGCACGCGAAATGAATTTTTCATGTTACTTCAGCTGAGAACCTGTCTTCCGCTCATTAAGTAGTGCTTAGGGAATGGTTGGTAGTGCTCTTAACAAATAAGATCCATGTCGACTTTGGTTGCGCTCGGCAAGCTACCCGTATGAATTTCTCGTTAAAAAACATTAGAAAGCCTTTTGGGAAAAGGGTGATGCTAAAGGCCTAAAGACAGCTCTGGTATATGATGAAGTTATCCGAAGAGAAGCACGTTGGCGCGTGATTGAGTACACTTTCGTTAAATAGCATTACAAGTGACATAAATGAATTATTCAGAGAAACAGCAAACTGTAGAAAAGAGAGAAATGACGTGTGGCAGAAAATGGTGAAGAATACAACGCCCAGGATTGATAAATCCATAGGGCATATGCCATGCATTTGACTTCTTCAAGCACCAAGTGGAGGGGATTGGATTCATATCTGACCCGTACGGTAATTATGGTGACCATTTCATGTCACTGTGCCATCCTTCCATACAAGTTGAGTACCTTTTTACCGACTCCAAGGAATGGAAGGCTTGTTGATTCGGGAAGCAAGATTGAACCAGCTACTAACTCAGTTTGTATAGCGAGGCATCTCTAATCATTGCACCACATGAGCCTCAAATAGTAAGGAAAATGATAAAAAACCTGTTTGGATCTTTACGACAATTGATTATTACTGAATTTTCCATAAGACATATAGATTCAACTACACCCACTATTTGTCCTGACTTGTTGAACGAACAAAGCCATTCTTTTGTAGCCATTTTTTTATTTTCTTCATCAAAAGCTATCCTCGCAGTAGTTTAGGAGTGGTGAAGACCTCATGGTTGAGGATCACAGTCTTCAGGCATTCACTTCTCAAACGGAACTCGACTCTGCTCTCAGCGCTTATAAACACGTATTCGTCCTGTTTTGGAGTAATGGTCCGTACTTTTTTCTTGGATTCTTGAAGTCCGAAACCATTTCATGAATTCTCTAGGAATTCTCTTCTCCTTGCTAAAGCTGTTACTATTGATAGCTCTTGTGATTGGTAAGTAAGCATAAAGTTAGTCATCAATCTTTTAGTGTACATTGTCAGTCTACATACGTTCAATTTATGGGCCAGAGCGTCGAAAATTGCAAGAATCGAAAAAGGTGAGATTTCCTCTTTAAGAAGAAGAAACACAGGTTGAACTGATAGAGATGTGCTCAGCAAAAGCACCTGAACCAATAAAATATGAAAGCACTGTTAAGAATGGAATAAAGAAATTTATTTGTACTGTAATAATTGCATAGTTATTTTTCAAAAATAATTAAATTTTTAAATTTTGACTTTTTAATTTTTTAATCTCCTAATTTTTAAATCTTAAAATTAAATTAATTTTCACAATTGAAGCTGATCATAGAAATTGAAGAGCATCTTAGTATTTCTTTTTTAATACTACCCCAATATTTCTTCATTCACTTAGAAACCTTGTACTTAAAGGACTTTGTTTCATTTATTCATTAATGCGCTTCGAATTAAAACTTTTCTGATAATTTCGAAACGTGAAATTTGAACTTTGACTACCACTGACTTCCACCAAAAGAGGTGAATATTCTTTCATTATTGGAGATATAGAACACAAAATTTTTATAATTCCAACTAAATTAAAACAAAATAACGATGGGATGGTGTCCTCTACCGCAGTCCCTAATGTGCGCTACAATAAGCAACAGTGGGTAATGGTTCGATTCACCATTTGGGGAAAACCAATCCACGTCTCCCTTCGCGACTTAAACATTGGTACCTATCTTGTTAATAAAATGACGCGTGTAGCGCAGTACTCGGGAGCGCCCTGCAATACACATGGGATTGATTCCTACGCCTGTGGCTCACCAAGCCTCCCATCCCTCCGGGGTTGCCAAATTGGTGCCAGACTTATCTGGGAGAAGAGCAGCACGATACATCGGTAGGCCACCGCGAGCTATTGTAAAGGCCGGATATGCATTCAATCTCCTCCAACGGCACTTAGTAATGTACAATGCATGGCGCATCCTTCAGGAATTAATCAACGCTAAGAGCTTTATCATTTTTATCTTTTTACTACTTTGTCTGGAAGGATAAGTACACCAGCGTGATATATTCATAGACTTCCACAAGCTACTGTATGGACCAAATATGTAATCAACTACCTCTGGGATGAATGAATAGGGTCAGATGCACTTCGCATTGCTGTGCGATTAACGAACGCTGAACACCTTCTCTTTCACCTTTCATCCTTTTGTAGAGTATATACCGCTTTTACGGCCCTTGTCGTTTTATACAGAATACTTTTACCAAGAGAGTTGTTTTAAAAAATAGAATGATGTAGTCATGATTAATATAGATTTCTGTATATAGATGTGGTGGTGGCTCACGTTGAATGTCATAGCCACGTCGATTTCTGTCACGGTTTAACAAGAAAGGACTTCTATACTATCGTCTATTATCGGTAAGAAAAAACATTACAAAGCGATGATAACAAAAAAAATTTACTGAATATAATATAAAGGTATAACATACAGTAGAAAAGAGTAAGTTATGACTTAGGCAGTTTATGAACACCTTGTAAAAAAATCACTGGCACAAACAAATGTCAGCGAAGAAAAAAGAATTTAAGAGACGGTAGTGGTGGGGGCATACGTTGATGATAATGTTGTTTAAGTGATGGTCTGAACATGGGATCAACCTATTATCTCCGAGATGAGTTCTTCTACCTACAATGGATACATTTGTAAGTCTAAATCTATATTCAAGTTTGTTTTTACTTTCTTCTTACATTTAATCTATTCAGATTTATTTGTTTCCATTTGTACGAAACAACAGCCGGAAAAAAAAACATGGAGAGAACTTTGGCGCGCTCCGTGATAGCAGTAAATATTGGTTGGATCAGTGCAATATTTATGCCAACTGAGCAGACATAAAAAGGATCCTGCTAGCAAATCATTCACTATATATGAAGAAATAAAATAAGTGGTCGAAATTTAACGTAGAACCAACCGCATTTAGTGATATCAGTCCCTGTTCTTTTCCGACTGCAATTTGTTGCAATGTTTGTGTGCTATACTTTTCAAATTCTATCGGTATATTATCTAAGTTTGTTATCATGCCTATAGTGACTCATAGGAAGCTATTACCTTGGTTTAATTACCCAAGTTTAAGCAATGAACAATTTTACGTCGAAAAATAAAGGTAATAGTGGCAGCAGGGACACATTGTTGGAAGACATTACCAATTGTCTTTCCATTTATTTTTCAGAATGATTTCTGGTCCTTTCATTGAATTAAAAACTGAGGAAACTATGAAGAACGCGAAGAAAGGTAAGCATCATATGCAATAACCACATGAAACATCAATAAAGACTAAACGGATGTGAAAATGATAAAGTGCATTCAGTGCTGAAAACGATGTGAATTTTGACATTTCTACAAAACTTTCTGTATTTTTATTTCGTTTTCTCTTAAAATTCACTACAGTGCAAGGATGATGAAGAACATGATTTCCACACCCACTAGGTAGAAGTTCATATTTTAGGATTTGTATTTTTATCAGGGCTTTGAAAGAAACATGTTTTTAAGGGCTATTATTCGATTCATCTCCGTCTCCGGTGATCATTGGAACATTCCCAGATCGAGAATGCTCAGAGTTCCAGCATTTTTCCATCGCAGCTGATCGACTTCACGGGCGATATCACATGGCTATCATGATTAAACCAGGGTAATCGCAATTTCCATCACCCAGAATTTAAGGTGACAATTGTAACAGACGACAGCAAAAAATGCCCACTGAAAACTCTTCCTATAGTAAATAAACTCGACCTGATCAACAGCTACGAAGAGGGCAACCTCCAATATGTGAAGTTGCCTTTTGAGTAAGTTCCAGGCCTATTCAAATCATCAGCAGTTTCCAACTCCAATTCCAATTCCAGTGGGAGCTCATTTGAAATTTCACCCAACAGAGGGGTAAAGATTGTGTTCTCAGACCTGAAAATAATTAGCTTTATAAAAACACATTGCTCCTATGTGGAGCAAGGTATTCTCGATATTAACACTCCAAGCAGGACTGGGAATTTCGGAACAGACAGCCCACACCTTTAACACATGATCTTTTCTAACGTACTCATCAGTATCACCTGTACCCCTTGGTCGTCGAGTGACGCAGGTGGGCGCCAGTAAACTTTCCATGTTTCCATGTCGCGTGCAAGTGTACCCGAGCAGGTTCTCCTCGCTCTAAGCGCTCGTTGAGCATGTTATATTTCTTCAATGCATTTCGTGAAGAACTCTGACTGTCGGGTCGGTGCTCTTCCTGCTACGCGTTTGACACCCCGAAGAATTTGGTCGCTAATGGCCGTTATCTTCGGCAATTTGGCACGAAAACGGCGTCTTTGACTCTTGATCATTGGCGTAGGTCGAAGTTTCGGATCCTTTCTCTCAACACGTCGTAGTCGATGTTTCTAGCACCGTCTTTCGACGCGTGTTCCATAAAACTGAGCTATCGTTCATCCTGCTTACGTAGCAACCAGATTGCTGACGCATATATTAAGGAGGAAGAGCCACGGAATCGAAAAGGTTGGGACGTAGTCGGATGTTCATTGTTCTCCTCACCATATCGTCAGTGCTATTGAAAGCTTCCTGAATCGCTCGCTTCGTTTTGCTGAACTCTGGAGCGAAGCCGTTCACCATGTTGATTTGCCGAAATAGAGAGAGACGTAGCTGGAACACTCAAAGATATTCATTCCTTTGACCGTGAATGGTGCAAAGAAACCAATCTCATCCTCACGAATACTGTTTCGAGGAGATCTAGTCGAAGACCAATCTTTTCACAGGCGTTATAGAAGTCGGTTACCACTCGTACCACCTGGCTGGTGCTTGGTATTATGACAGCGATGTCATGGGCAACGCGAAAATGGTGTAATTGTCGACCATCGCATTTCACTGCCATGTTGTCCCATTCCAGTGTTTGCATGGCATTTTCGAGGGTGGTGGTAAATAATTTTGGCGAAATGGTACCTCCTTACCTAGCCTTCTCTCGACGTTAATATCGTTGTAGAGTGATGACATTTTGGCTGCAAAATTCTTACACAGCTCGCGAAGAATCCTTACGTACTAAATAGGGACCCTCTCACTGCTACTATCTCAGCTGAGTTAAAAGCCTTCTTTAAACGTCACCGATGAAATAACGTGTTGGATTTCAGAATCGAGAACAGGTTGAACGACATATGCATCCTTCTTTATTTCAAATGACCAGTAGCAATCATAAATGATTTTCTCCATTGCTTTCTGAAAGATGTAGCTGTTCCACCTGGACATCGCAATGCAATCATTTTGGTTTTATAATTGGTGCACTACCCATTACTGCTACCCTTCTCTCTTTAAGATCTTTTATCGCTTGTCTGCATCGTTTTGCAAGATGGAATCTGACGATCGCCTGCGGCTTGTCCCATTCCTCGTTGGTGCATCACTTCGAATGTTTTTGGAGACAGGCAACCTTTTGTTTGCTCCAACTCTCAGCTTTCATATCACTAGCATGAAAATTTTGAATAACTCTTCCTTGATGTTATCAGTAACGGTATCTTTCCACGGGGCGACTAATGAGCGAAAACATCCCAATTTGTGCCAGTATTGGAACTTCATTTTCTGGTCATTGCGGATTTTCCTCCTTTCCGTAAGAAACAGAATCTTTTACGGGGAAGCGACAGTCTGGTCCCGTGCAGTATTTTGGGACAAGCATCGGCTAGGTGAAAGCTTTGACATACTACGATTTAGTTTTAATATTTAACTTTTATTTATCGGATAGCATTCTTTCTTTCATGGCAGGTGTTATGTGAAGTACTACCACAATGATGTTGAGATAGGAGCAAAAGTTGGAACTCTTATGAGCTTCGAACCAGCGGCTTCCCTCTTCGACTTTTCGTGGCTTACGCGCCATTGGGTATTTTGTTCGCCTGCTTCTCGACCAGCTTTATGTAGTCTATTTCGCTACGATCTCTCCGCTGGTAATCTCCCACGTCCAGCATTGAGAGCGGGGCTTCTGTAATTGCGAGTTACCATGAAAAGGTGTTGTCGTCATCATAAAATCAGGCAGCCGCTCATCTTACTCGTTCCGTCCTGATCCGTGAGTCTCAATGCCATGTTTTTCAGAACTTTTTCTAGGTCCACGCCTAGCGTTAAACTCTCCAGTGATGACCTCAAAGAATGTATGGCCTTCTCTGTAGAGCTTCTCCAAGTCCATACAGGATGCATCCACTTCGTCTTCATCAAAGCTTGATGTCGGTGCTTAGACGACGATGATTGTCGAAGCAGGTATTGATCCACACCTATTGGACCGTAAAAGTCCGATTCGAGTTCTTAGTTGTTCGAATGGATTGATATTCATAGTCAAACTTTTGTTGACCAGAACTCCGGACTGTCGCACGTTCCGAGGAGCAATTCTTCTTCGGTGTCATAGACGGCGTTGAATGGGTGGCGTCGTCGTTTCGGCCAGTCCGATGACGTCGTGCCTTATCTTTCTTGCTTGCACGATCAAGTCTTCTTTCGAAGACTCAGGTCCAAGCATGCATGCGCGGTTAGTAGAGATCATCACTTTAGTCCTTTGGCATTTAGGCAGCCTAGAATGGCCTTGAGATCTTACCAACTTTACCATACTCGTCCTACATAACTCTGCCCTATTGGGGGCTCTTTCATGGTCATGGGAATGAGGATAAGTTATTTTACTGCGTTGAGCATCTGATACCTCCCATATACTTCCTTGTCACTTGATTGTAGCATTTGGCCGAATTTAGTCATAGAATACACTCCACATAAACCAGAACGAACCCACGAACTTATGCACGAATACGTCCTCGCAGACACAAGGCATATCAGCGCGTAAGAAACAGGGAGTCCATCCTCTGGATCCATCTGCTTCTCAGGCAAGCAGAATACGCCCTTTGTCCGTGATTAACACCCAATCAGTCACCTGTTGACGCGCCACATTTCCCAATTACTAACGGGCACGAGATCTCCTCGGAGGAGGTCCGTGGAACGACCAATATCTACAATGTCTGTGTTTTTTTTGTAATTTCAGAGTCACTGCAACTGTGTCAGCATATCGCCCTAACGAAAACAGGAAACGGCAAGACTATGAAGGCAAATTTGATCCAGTCTCTCTCATGGTGTTCATCTCGATTGCTTCGCTTCCAAGCGTGGTAAGAGGGGTTGATCAGTTCAATCATATCGCCAAAAGCTAGGTATATATGTATGGTTTTTCATACCAATGTATCCCTCTGTTGATCTCTGTAGATGTCAACTTTTCTGTTCATAAATTAACACGCTGAGCTTCGTGTAGTAAAGTCGTTAAATGTCCTCTGAAATACATACCAGACCATTGGTTCGATTCCTCGCCCGGGATTCACCAAGCCTTCCATCTCTCCGGGGTCAGTAAATTGGTACTAATCTTTTATGGGAAAACAGCAATACAGACTCAACATTTCGAAATCTAACTTTCATTTAATTATGGCGTAACTAATCAGGGTGCATTTTTTTTCTTTGATAAAAAACCTATGGGAATTATTAATGGAAAAAATAGCCTGCAGACGGTCGGCCACCACAAGTCACTGTATAGGTCAGATATGCATCCACTCTTCGCTACGATATTACGAATGGTGTCGAATGCATGACGCATCCCTGAGGGATTGATCAGTGCCGAACGCTTTAACTGCTTCTTCTTAAACCTACTAACTTAACCTAACTTCTTAAACTAACACACTAAGGAAGCTAAGGAAAACTAAGAAAGACATGTGCCACATGTAACCAACCGCCGTTATCTTACTGTTATATTTGCAATAATTTATTTATAATATTGGGAACGTCTTAACGCCTTAATCATCTACACTTTTTCAAAAATTAAATAAACAAGAATTATGTGAAATACCTTCGGTCAATGCTTTATCACCTCACCATAGTTGGTGGATGATTTTGGGCATCGACCTGAGATTAAGGAAGATAACCTGCGATAATCCCCTCGGCAAAATCACCCAATCGAACAAAGAACTATGAGTAAGTCTTTGCAATAGAACGGCCTGGCTACCTGCTCATGGTTAACTCCACGCCATTCATAGGACGTACGGAAAGGCGTGGCACGGTGATCGTTGTGCGGTTGGAGTAATCAGGAAAGGTGTGCTCGAATTCTCTGGTCGGTGATAGGGATGGATAGAATCTCATTTATATAGATATATACCGTATCATGTGCTTATCTGTCCATGTTGTCCATTTTGAAAAGGTGACTACTCGGTTCCCTTCAGATTGATATTTCGCATGGATTCACTACAAATTTGCTCTTTCGACAACCTCGCCTTGTTGCTGTTCTCGTCGCTTCTACATCATTCAGTAATTCATCCTATTTTTCGCTGGCCACAAAGAAAGATGCACGAAAATCTGTGATTTTCACATTCATGAACAGGTAAAGCAACGTTTGTCTAAGCTCACATTTAGAAAGACTGCAGTCGTTTATATTTTATATATTGAGCAACTTCTTAGAAATTGAATAGATACAAACAGAACACCTTAATTAGAAACAGCAGAGTATCTGGCGTGGTTTTGGAGTCACTTAAGAAGCTCTTCGTATTTTGAACTACTTCCATGATCTGTCACTTGATACTTGATACATGAACGGCCCGTCCTCACTGGTTGTGCGGGTCCCAGCACATTCTCCAATTTTCAGAGTTCTGTTGGTTTAGCAATTGTGGTTCCCTGGAACCCTGAGGTCAGCCTGGCTAAAGTCTGCCCCAGGTCTTGACCACCACAGGCAGTCGGAGCCCTTGTAGATCAGAGGAAGGCCCATCACCATGCGACAAGTTTGATACCGGAACGGTGCTCGATCCTGGTATTGGTCATATCGAATTTGTCATTTATCTAGAAGAAAGAACTTTTCCAAGATCACTGTTCTCGTCATGCTTAACTTATCGCTCCTTTCTTAGGCGATGATATAAATCCATTTACACCGTATAGCTGAATCGTCTTCGTAATATAGTGGTGGTGTGGAGTTTAGTGCAAAATTTGGCGATATCAGTGATTCACCTCCGTAATTTTTGTGAGCTACGATTGATCGCCTCATGATTTGAGCCCTTAGGCAATTCCCATGGTAGGAATGATTTTTGTCACTCTCAAATAATGAAATTGAAGCAAGAGGTGTGACAAAAATAGAAACAAAGTGATGGCTTACGCTATCATTCTAAGTCCATATTTCAATTTTTGGGGTCTTGTACTCGCTTTCGCTAGTTTTTCTACTCTTGAATTCACGTTCCCGACGAAAGTTTAACAGAAGGCTTATTCGTTGCACATTAATTCCTCTAATAGAGTAACGAACGTAACTAATTCGCTTTCATCATTGATGAGTAGCAACTGATGATTTATATATTCTCTGAAGCCTGAAAATGAAAGTAGGTGATAACCAGACAACATGACAATGTCCCGCACGGATTGGCCCAAGTAGTAGGTGTAATGTGTGGAATCCCGTAAGTACGAACACCCAACGACCCAAGATTTACTACTTATTAGGATATTCATTCTTCGCCGAGTGACTTCGGAATGAAAACGTCCAGCTTCTAAACTAGGAGATCAAGTTGCAATGACGAATTTCTACCGCATTTGGGAATTCGGTACATTAGAGCAACAGGGATGAGGTGACAGAAGATTAGCTAGACTCTTAAATTGTACTACGGTGAATAATAATGTATCGCCCCCCAACCGTTTACCGCCTCATTGTTTCTGGGAAGTGTTCCTGGGTGTCGGGCTGCGCTGTACTGTGGTGAGATTCATTCTCCCAACAGTGTCTCCCAAGCTGAGAAAGAGTCCGGCGTTTCCATCAGAAAATCTAGCTAAGAGTAAATCAATACAGTATCGACCACCGTCCTGATATCAAACTAGTCGCATCGTGGCAAATCTCCCTCTGATCCACATGGGCAGCTACTACCTGTGGTAGTGAAAAGGCAGACTTTGGCCAGACTAACCTCGGCATTCCAGGGACCCACAGTGGCTATTCCACCAAAACTTCAAAAAAGTGGAGATTATGCTGAGACCCACACAATATGTGAGGATGGACTATCCAAGTATCGAAACAATAATGCAGCGATACCTTATAGTTGACGGCCAACAGCAAACTATTAGGAGTGTTGTCAGCTTCTTAAGATTTTAGAGCTGATTACAAATGATGTCAACGATCTCTTGCTTAAAATACCTTGGTAATTAATGGCTATCGTACGAAACAGACGAATAATAACCGAAATATATATATATATATATATATATATATATATATATTTCGGTTATTATTCGTCTGTTTCGTACGATAGCCATTAATTACCAAGGTATTTTAAGNTATATATATATATATATATATATATATATATATATATATATATATATCACAAAACCTTAACAGAGGCAGACTACACGGCACGTTTTTCTCCATGCACAGAAGAGTTGGAAATCTTCCAAAAAATATGAAGATATATAAATACGGTCATTTTCACTTGGGAATGGTGTTCTGGATTCATACTGTGGTAGGAGTGGTCAATTCGGCTCCGAAGAAAGCGAATGCGTCGAAACGTTAGCCGAAAACAGTTTTTATGAATTTCGTGCTATCAATGGAAGAACATATGGTGATCAGTGTTAAGATCTCCACAGCAATTTTCTACTTATATGTAAGCTCCTCTTCAAATCAATCGCCGTATTAAATCAACACTGCTTGATTCTGCTTAATCGAGAATCGTCCATCTCAACTTATTCCCAACATTGTGGAATTTCTTGTGAATTCGATCTTTTTTCCATTTTTAAAACTTTCTACAAATTCGCTTAGCATCGCTTAAACCACTAAACAGCGGCGATAATGTAGACATCGATGCGAATGTTTTAAGCGCCTCAACTTTCAGAGATCATGAGTTGGCGGAAGAGGTGCTCAACCAATTCAACCTCAAGTTGCACGACAAACCTCAAGTGATTCTACTCGATAAGGTGCGGACAGAAAGTCGACACTTGATTGTCTAAAGACACTTCCGTGAAATTTCAGTTACGCATTTACCAACTGCTTCTGAACACAACCACTACTGCCGATGAAATTTGGGAGTGGATTCAAAGTAGAGAGACCCCGACAGGTAAGAAGGGCAATTTTTGAATCTCAGTAAGAAAGTCAGTATTTAAAAATTAATTGAACGACACGCCATTATACGTACAATTTCCTTGAGCGAAACTATGATTCATGTTACAGCTCTGCTGTCTGTGAGAGATCCGCATCCGTTAAGAGTCTTGCAGAAAGCCTCTGTCGATCATGTGTTCACCTCACAGAACACTATTATTCTGCCAGATGAGACACTTTATCACGATTTGGTGGTAAGTTAGCCTTCAAATTAATAAGATATTGAGAGTAGACAAGACCCATAAATGGGTCATATTTTGCTGGAAAAAGTGCCAATTAAATATTAAATCATATCACTGCTCACAGTGAACCTCATTAACTGAGGCTGACACCATAACGATCTACATATCCTCGTTGAAGGAAGTGAATTTACATATTTTACTACCAAGCCTATGGGTTGGGGGATTTTTCAAACAAGTCTAATAAATCCTTTTTATCAATTTCCCAATCTTGAAGGGATGAGAACATTCGTTCCCGAGGTACAGGGTCGAACTATGGCGTTGTGCGTCCTGAAGGATATTTCTACGATCGCGTCACACCCGTCTTAAGTTTGGGCTTGTGTACCGCTGTGATTAGATTCCAATACACAGTGAACCGGTCAGTAATTCACTTCTGCACCACGGGGCCCACCAACCCTTCCATGTCTCCAGTACTGGCAAGTTCGTATCGGATCTGGCTGTAAGGATGGCGCACCGGCTTCATACATTGGTAGGCCACTGAAAATCATTGCATAGGCCGGGCATACATTTAATTACCTCTGTGATGCCTGATTAAGTCGAGTGCATGCGCATCCCCTAGGTACTGATCAACGCCGAGACACACTTTGTTCAACATTTCCATACAAATGTCATTTTGTTCTTTGTGCGTATTCACACAGAACTATTAAGAAAATCATGAAATTCGAAAAATTTCTGAAAGATTAACACATGGATGTCGAGACGCAAAAGCGGTATATCAAACGAAATATCAGACTTGCACTTGGCCAAGCAATTGGTCACGAACGTGAGTTCCAAGATTGAGTTAAAAACTTTCGTGATGGATACGACAGCTTTTAACACTCAAGCGATGTCTCCTAAATTTGCTTGGTTGCGGCAATCGACAATGTCAAATTTTCAACCATTATGGATTATGGGCCTGCTGATTTCCCAAAAAATAGACGATAATTCTTCGATTACTAGGCAAGTTGAGTGATTGCGAACACTACATAATTGAGAGTTTGCTTTACCAATCAATGAGTATGAATGGTATGTATGTATCTAGTTACTGTACGATGACACTTACGTGACAATGCCTAATTTGACTTCTATGCTGCACGAGTTAACCCCTGACTGATTTCTGACTTCACGTACCTGCTGGTATTTCGACAACACATGATAATATTTCAATAATCAAAAAGCATAACAAGTTTAAAAAGTCATAGAACTGTGAGAAAGACTTTGCAGTATCGCTGGGATGGGTGACTATGACTATGGGCATAAGTGGTATATACGCTCCTATTTAATATATGTTACTATGGTTATTCGTAGAAACACATTCCCATCAGCACTTGGAAGTTTTTTTGCGGCTCATCTTGAGCCTGTTTCTATATATTTTTGCACCGACCAATTATAATCATTATTCATTACAACGACTGCAATTCAAATAGCATTCATGTACTAGTCAAATTACCACTCATAAACTTGTTCGAAAACAGACTTTTGCATATTTCTAACTACAAAATAGTGACTTCCCCCGTGGACACCTACCAAAACATCTACGTTGACTGAGCAACTGATTAATTATAAGTATAGAAAAGAGGTCTGGACACCAAAATAAAATGCCGGAAACAAAATGACTGCTATAGAAGTCATACCGGTCACTACGTCCCCTAACAAATGACTCCTATAAAAGTCACATCGTCGCGTATATGTTAGTATGACCCATCATATCAACAATCTTCTGTCAGCATTTGGAAATGTTTTGCAACCTATGCGTCTATTTCAGCACTTTTATGGCAGCATACTTTATGTGGCAACTATAGCAATTATAATAGCAACATAGGCCATTACCATTCAAATTTCTGTTCAGTGAACTCCTTCGAAAAAAGGTTTCTTGCATAGGCTTATTCGAGCGGAACACATTGCTCAGTGGTGCCCTCGATCAGGAAGCAAAGGCGATAGTTCAAACCCCTCCCCAACGCTTTCTTCCAACCCACGTGGGAACGCCTTAGCCAGGGCATCTCCAAGACTGCAAAGAGGGTGCATCCGGTCAGCATTCTACGACATTCATTAAGGAGATAAAATCCTCGAGCATCTGCCGATATAATATACGAAATGTTCGGAGACCATTGTGGACAACGAATGCGAGGAAAGCAAATTGAATACAACCCATAAAGTAGATGTGATGGCGGCTTATGTAGAATGAAAAATAAAAATAAAAAAAGTTTGATATGAACTAACACATGAGACGTATTTAAAATTGAAGGCTCGAAGCTTGCACTAAATTGCAAGTGATCTTATGCCTATAAAAGTAAATATTTTCTATTTTCTTAATGCAAAACCGTCACATCTACTAACGTAGTAGCTCAATAATGAACACACTTTTTAGGAATTCACAAATTCGCGGTCAGAGTTCTCCGGAACGACGAGCGGAGGATGCCCGTTCATGGCCAGTTCCAGAGCGGAAGCAATACATGAGGAGCTATGAGTACACGGCTCTAGTTTTATCCTTTTTGTTGACTAGTTAAAATGAAACAAATACTACCCCTGTAAAACATAAACAATTGCCTTACATCAGTTAAAGTGGGATATCTTCACTCATCTATGCGCAAAAACATATGGATCACTATATCAACAACTATCTTTGTTAATGTCAGAGAATATTGGATGTAGAGAAGCACATCCTGTGTATGAAAGAGAATACACTTGACCTCCAACCTTTGGAGCCTCAAAAACTAAGCACTAAAAACAAATGATGAAGACAATCTCAAATAATTCGATGTGGCTCGCAGCAGCTCGTATGCTCATAGGATAGGAGTTTATGTCATAATAGCATTTACTTGATACTTAATACTTGGATGACCCGTCTTCACTGGTTGTGCGGACCCCAGCATAATTCCCACTTTTCGGAGTTTTGCTGGTTCAGCCATTGTGGTTCTCTGGAATCCTGAGGTTAGCCTAACCAAAGTCATGTAGAATGAAAAATAAAAATAAAAAAATCGTCACCACCACAGGCAGACACTGCTATTGTGGATCAGAGGAAGAGTTGCAACCATGCAGCTAGTTTTGTACCACAACGGTCGTGGTATTGGTTTACTCTTAGCTAGGCTTCCTGATGAAAACGTCGGACTCCTCAGTTTTGGATACCCTGCCGCGATGATGATATCGCTGCTGTACATCGCAGCCCGACACCCAGGAGCACCTCCCCATCCACAATGAGATGGTAAACCGTTAGGAGGCTTAATAGCATTTAAAATTGAAAGTCCTTGAACCCCAAGTAGTTGGACGATTTTTTTTGGAATTAGAAAAAAACTGCATCATCCTCGAAGACTAATTAAATCGGATATCTTTTCATTTCTATCGGTAAACATACCTCAGTGTGATAACATCAATATTAATCCAAGAAGACTGAAGCAAACGACGAAGAAGTAACTTCCACGTGAGACGATAGAAAATTGTTGAATATAAATTTACATATAAATATAGATATGAACCAATGAATGAATAAATATGAATATGAACCATATGTTTTAGAATTTTCCAATATCGTATAATCAGAAAAAACATTGCCTCTTGACGAAATCCTGAGAGAAGCCTCCTAGAATACAACCAACGATTTCTCATTACAGTTAACCAGAAGTAAATCCCTCCATTGAAGATGGTTTCAGAAGTTACAGAAGTAAGCAACATGAGAGGAAACTCTGAGTGGAACTAAATTTCGAAACAGTGAAAGCATTCTGTAGTATTGGTTGAATCAGATGACGAAGCTACACCTTCCTCATATATATTGACGCATTGCATAAAACTTCCTCCGTAAAAACTTGTCATAATAGACGGCTAAAAGCCATTAGAGAAAAAAATGGATATTGTTATAAATACTGAGAAATGTCAATTAACATCGGTCAATTAGCATCGATCAACACCACAAGCACTCGAACGGTGTACAACATTTTTCATGAACACCTTCCCCAAGATTCCAGAGTGAACTTGAGAAAAGATGACTGTTTGGCTAGCTTAATTTTGCTGGGTGTGCACCTTTTGTGAAAGCGTACTTCCTAAGCACACAAGTCAATGCCCAAGTACTTGTATCGCTCTCGGTGTCTTCAGTAATCGGTCATTTTCAGCAGATAGCAGTAAACTCGAAATGTAATCACCATATGTGGCTTCTGCTCAAAAGACTGCAGTAGCTGTAGAGACACATAGAACATCACATCTTCCCTTTTTCTTTCCCAGCATGGGTGAAACTCCCACAGTACCTAGCACATTGGCAACCAGGAACATTCGCTACTGACAATGAATCTTTGGAGGAAATATCTGAGTATGAGTAAGAAAAAATTCGCAATTAGTACAGATAACACCTTAAAAAGCACAAACATGTAGGAAGCAATATTTTATGTAAAAATTACATGAGGCGTCATTGAAAGCCTCACATATACATCAAAAACCTTAAGAACATGAAGCCATATCAGCAGACACGCTCCTTATAAATATAACCTACTTCCCAGAGGAACAATTAAACCAAAAATGTCGTTTTGAGAGCAAGAAGTTACTTCAGTTAATCACAATAAATCAATAATGAATTAGCATAGTTGAACGTAGGAATTTGTCACAAAGATCAAGAACATGAGTTAATTGCTTAAGAAGAAACAATACAAATACCCACAGAGGTTGCTCACAGCTACTGCGAAGAGAAAAATCGATACTTCTCGTTAATAACACCGAGTAAGATGTTACTCGATCAGAACGGAGCACAGCACCCAGCTGTTCAACCATGAAATGACCTCGAAGTAGAATATTTCTTTAAACCGAATAATGACTGGACAGAACAAGGATGAAGACAAAGAAACCTGTACCGCGAAACATCAACACCATGATGTCATAAATGGAGTACCTACGACCGTAAGAGGTGAAGAATGATTTCAAAACACAACATGAAAAGTTGAAGCATAGAAAAAGTAGTTTAAAAAGTTGTAACGAGAGCATATCGCTTTCGCTGATCAGACGATAGTAGAACACCACCGATTGAACATAGGCAGAAACATACCGTGCAAGTGAGGTAGAACAGCCAGCTTGAATCATAGAAATCAACGATTACCTCAGACTAGGACTATACCTCTCCTATCTTTAAAGCAAATCTCAAAGGGATAATAAATCAATTGCCGTGATACGAGACAGATATGTCTGACCAGACACATGACAAACGTCTTTAGTGAAAAAAAATTCTGTTCACCCTAAATAAATTGTGCTACACGGCAATATAGATCCCTACATAGAAACATTCCAAATTCAAATTAAGATAAAGGGATTTAACGTCAAAGTAACCGAAATGTCACGTACACTTCCATTCCATCTGATTGCAGACCTCGTATAATTACCCTATGTAGACCCTATGGAAATCATTCGCACCAAAGCCAGCATTACATTTTGGACACTTCCTTTGCCTTGTATCGTATCTGAACAAAATTGTAATTTAAAAAGAGCGCCACCTAAAAAAATTAACATAAAATCCTATAAAGTAACTTAAAGGCAAAACAGAACAAGAAAACTTCAAAAAAAAAACTCTCACCTCGTTTTTAAGCATTTCATACAAAAAACGTGAAAGCATTTCGTTAAAATTGCATCTTTCCGATTGACTTTGCAAGACGGACACGTAAGCACATCCTGGGCAGAAAACAAAAATAGCGACTCATTTTCGGTTGCAATAAACTGCGTACAGATGTAGATATGTAAATAAGCATATACATTTATATTTTATTATGTAATTTATACATATATACAAATATTCTATCTATTCCGAAGTATACTTCTTTAATTTTAAATCTGTTACAATATCAGTTGATTTCAATCTATACGTAGCTGGAGAAAATTTAGCCTTTCAACATTAAAATATTGCCGATATCTTATTTTTTAAGGATGATTTCCCGTCCATTCTTGTAGTTAAAGAGTTGAAACTTTACAGAATGGTAGAACACATTTTACTCCAGTACTTTAAGCCTATACGTAGTATAAGGGTGTACATAACTTTATAAGAAATCTTTCCAGCTTCAAACTTATAATTAGGGTTTTCAAAGAGTTAAAAAGCACTTAAATTTCTAAAACTCTCAATATAGATACAAATATTATTCGCATACAGACATTCAGGGCAGACTGGGAAACACCCATATGTTGTGCTCGACAAATAGGGCTTCTTCAATCGCTTCACTTTTCAACTTATGACAACAAGAATTTGTAATCCAGAAGGGAATCCCATCATGGTAGAATAAGAATAAATGTCCCTAAGTTGGAAAACGTCTCTAGATTTCACTGTTTCTTAGTTCATCAATAAAATCCGCTTTAACCAGCAAGAGACACGCTGCTATAAACTTGAAAGAAGGCATTATTTTCATTACATGCGACGAAATCGATGTACACTGTTTGCCAATGTGTTAAGCAACTAGGCCGCAACTCACATGGAAACTTACTGACTGGATGAAAGCCTTGCTACTCTAAAACGACTAAGTTCGGACTAACTGAACCTCTAAAAACATCTTTCGCATCAATTTTTCGTTAGAATTAGCTAGAATTTTAAAACAGCAATTCCAATTGAGCCAAGAAATAACCCTAACCAAAATACAATGCAACGTCGGTTTGGACGATAATTTCGCGACTTATTTGACCTTAACGATGTGACAGGTCGCGAGGGTACTGTTACTGAAAATGATGAATTGAAGACGTTAATGGAACTAAATGCATACTTTACCGTTTGAGAATTTGCAGAAGAATCCAGTGTAATCAACTCAACTGTTTCGGGGCACTTAAGATAATTGGATAGTCGAAGAAGTTCGACAAATAAATGCCACACGAAATCAATGACAGTCGAAGTCGCCGTTTCGAAGTGACATCTCTGCGCAAATAGTACGACGTGCTTCTCGATTGTATTGTGATATGCGACAAGAAATAGATCTTCTTTGATAGTCAGCAACGACCAGCTCAATGATTGGACCGCGATGAAGCTCCACAGTACTTCCCAAAGTCAATATTGCATCAAAGAAAATCAAGCTCACTAATTAGTGGTCTACAGTTAGTTTGATCCGTCACAGTTAATAAAGATAAAACAATTACCATAGAAATGTTCAGGAAGTCGACGTAATTCGCTTATTATTAATCAACAGAAAGGGGCCAATTCTCCTTTACGCTAACACGCAGCCACACTTCATACTACCAACGATGCTTAGGTTGAACGAGTTGGGCTACGAAACCTTGCCTCGTTCACCATGCATGCCACAGACAACTCGCCTATCGACTTCCACCACTTCAAGCATCTCGGTAGATTTCTACGTGAGAAATACTTTAGAAACCAAAGCCAGACCGAAACTCTATTTAACGAATTTATCCCCTTCAAAAACCCACAGTTATAAATAACTGGTATAGATAAACTTAACCTTTGTTCACAAGAGTGTGTAGACTCAAATGGTTGCTTTTTGACTGCTGAACTTTATTCTGATTTAAGACATGGCGAATGCTTGCTTAATAATAATACCCCCAAATAAGTCGTTGATGTGAAAGTTTTTATTTTAAACAACATTAAAATTATAGTAAGAGTATAAAAAGTGGCATATAGCAAGAATGATTCTCGTCGTGGCAACGCAGCATGTCAAATTTATTCATTGAACGCGATTCTAACAATTGAGACCTGCCAACAACAACACGTTCCCAAAGGTATACGACTGAATCTAAGTATCTCATCCATTATGTTTTTAGTCTGTTAAAAATAATATAACAGTGAACAATTCAAAAATGGATTCAAAATAAGACACAAAACATACTTTGAGTTCTCGAATCTCCTCCATAAGTACAGCATCCGTACTACCCAACTTTTCACTTTTCTTGGCTCGTTCAAGACGTTTCCGAAGTGTCGAGTTTTCCTCTTCCAACCGACGCTTACGTTGATCTATCACCTCCAATTGCAACGTCTTTGACGCCACCACCTTATAATGCAAAAATTATAACGTGATATATGTACCAGAATTTCGAATTAACTCCAATAACCATAGAACGAAAGCGTACACGCTTTTAATACCAAACTGCTTATGATTTGCTAGGCATTCTTGCACTTTTTTCGAACTATATATAATTTTACTCATACCTCCTGGATATCTCTTAATTGCGCGCCAATTTTCTCACTTCTTGTCGTCAGATCAGCAGTGTTTAGCGATTGTTCGGTTAGCTGCTTACGCAAAGTCTCGATAATTCGGTTTTGACGCCTAAAATCGTTTCACCAATTCTCATCATCAATTCTATTCACATCCAATACTGATTATAAAACTGAATGTAAAAAAATACAAACGATGTGGTCTTAAAAACCAAAAGTTCGCTTAGATGCGTTAGTAATGTTATGAGGGTATAAAGCAAACATTCTACGAAAACTCATGAATGGAAAGGAAATTTTGAAAAACATGAAATTCCAATAAATCTATCTCGTAAAATTCGACGTACACATTCTCCTTGGTTTTCACTCCAATTGTCTCAAGAGCAAGCTTAAGCGCCTCGTTTTGAGACTCTTTCTCACATTGTAATGCAGCTATCTGCCTCGTCAAATTATTCACTTGTGATTCCAAATGGGCCTACGAAATAAGAACGTAAGTAAGAAGTGCTATGAAAGTACTGTTTATACAACGAAATTATTTGGGAACAATCCTAAAAACACCACCATTTCCTCCTTGATTTTAACTTGTAGCTGCGTCGCAATAATTCGATCATTCATCATCTTGATGTGTCCTTCGTCGTTCTCTTTTTGCAACGAAATAAGTTTTGCATTTTGTTCTTGCAGTTCCTCCAGAGCCTTAACAGTATTAATAAGTGGCTCCACTTAAAATCCTAAGACTAAAGTATTGATCGACTTACTGAGCCAGTGTTGTCGAGATCAAGCATCAGTGAAGCTTCTGTGTCTTTCAGCATCGCAACTTCACGTTTTAGTCTCTCTATTTCGCTATCCTTTTGAGAAAACAAGCGATTTGCATCCATCTAAAAAAATGCCGAATATTCCACGAGATATAGCATTTTAACCAAAGGATGCCACTTGTAACCACTAAAGAGCTGTCTTTACAGCAATATTCTTGAAACAAAATGGTCGAAAATTGAAAACCAACAATATAAGGAAAAAGCAACATAAACATAAAAAACAAAGTAAATGATAAAATATCACATTTTTAGGTAGCCAAAGAGCAGAAATGACTTTCGATGGAAAACTGAAAGCATTACTAGAAGGGAACGTTTAAAACATTATGATGAAAATTCGTAATATTTCGATTCAATTTTACTAACTAAAACAAGCATAACAGAAGCACAATGATGCTGAGATATCTGCAAAACTCCGGAACGCAGGCGCCTGAGGTGGAGATCGAACACACTATTCCTTTTGCGGGGACTAACGCTTTCACCAGCACTTAAAGCCGGGTCTTCGTTTCGCCTTTCCCTCAGTTAGCTCTATCGATCACAACCATCACCAATCACCCGTGAACGGGATTGATCTGGGAAGCCAAAATCGGCAATGAACCCAGTTAAGCTAAGTCTAGATAGAAAACTAGCTGAAAAAAAGGTAAAACGATGAACCCGCATGGTGTGGTAGTGAATGCATTAGTCCCCAGAAAAGATAATAGCACGTTTGTTCCTCACTACAGACACTCGCGGTCCGGTGTTCTGCAAATATCTCAGCATCATTGTGGTTGTATCAGAAATAATACCCTACCATGAATAATTTTAATAGGTACCAAATAAAAAGTGAACATTAAAATAAGCATAATAGCTAACTTACTTTCCAGCACCATAACCTTAAACAATCCAGTTACATAAAACTTACAGTGAATGCAATAAAGTCATAGAAGATCTTTTCAACAGCACCTCGATTGCCCTCCATTACTGACAAAATTGTCCAAATTTTCGAAGCGAAAAACGTTTGAATAATCTGCAATGCAGATGAGGCAAAGTTTTAGCTTCGAATTCGTCAAACTCCGGGTCCACTAAGTGTAAAATATGGGGGTCAAAATAACGTGCAGCTTTCTCGCAGCAAAATTGTCCTCTTTCCATTACATGACAGTAGAAAGCGTTGAATTGTTTGCTTATCAACAGCATTGCCGATTTATCAACAGCAACTCCGCACCATAACAACTTTACAGGTTAGATCTATTTATAGTGGATAACAGTAGCGATCATGAAGCTGTCACAACGTCCCTTTGCTGTAAATTTGGCATAGCAAAGTATTTCTATGCTTTATCGATATCGACCCACTAAGTAGAACATCATCAACTGTGCGTAATCCAACTGGGGACGGAACAATTAATTCACAACCATCCCTTGTGCGATTAGAATTAACTTCTGAACCTTTTTCCATTTACACCAAGTCCATCCACGTTCTTGAACCGCATAGTGTAAATATGCTTCAACTGGGGTCTCCAAACAGTATCGATATTCAAAGTCACTTATAAAAGTGTATGACCTTCCTCACCAAGCGTAGTGTCCATCATTATACCTTTGAAAGAAACGTTGTACCGCATGGGTCACTAACATCTCCATGGTCAAATGTAACAATGATACGATTGCCATCTCACGTCCACGTTTAGATTCATGCGAAAAACAGCAGTTCGAATTTCCTTGTTATTCACATTTTTTCCAAGTGGTATAAATTCAATGCACATCAACATTGCAATAAAGGCATAAAAACAAATCGTAAAGCAAGATTAAATGAAAGATGCCTGAAAATAAGATAAAACAACGATAAGCAAAAACTGTAACTACGCAAAAAATTACAAAAAATTTTAAACTTTTAAAGTAGGAAATTTCAGTGTGAGCAATCAACATTGTAAACTGTAATGTTTCCACAGATAAATTAGTTAAAAGTAGACAAAGATACATATGTAGGCAAAGAACACGCTAATATTAAACAGGAAAGATAATTAAAAGAACTGAATGAAAAGTATACGTAATTTGAAGAGCAAAAACATATGGCAAGACATAAGTTTCCTTACCTCAAAGTAACGCATCCTTTCCTTTCGCTCAATGTTCCCCAATCGTTTAATTTGATGTATTAATCGCTCATTTTCCCTTTTCAAACGGCGTTCGCGTACTAGCAGCTAAATGGTATCGTTTACATCCAAGAAAAATGAAAAAAGACAACTGGTATTACCTCAGCTTTGTCTCTTACATCTGTGCCTATGTCAGCATATACTTCTAACTTCAACTTCAACTCCAAAATCTTTGCTTGTAAGGTGTTGATGCTAAAACAATTACTAAACAACCAGTAAAAATATGGGTAAGAAAAAGGCAAAAAAAGGGCTGTTTGTGTAGCAAGCAGCACATGAGGCCCCCTGAAGCAAATCACGGGTTTGAAGCCTTCATGGAATTCCGAACTTTGTTCATATCTTAGCACGCTTATGGTTGCGCTTCACATCATACCCTGCCACAAGAAAAAGAACAGGCTCTTAGAAAAGCTAAAGTATTAAGACAACCACTATTTTGGCACTCAAAAAATTTCACCGCTACCTAATCCAAATCCGGAAAAGAACTGCAATAAAACGAATGGAAGAAATTTGGTATCGCAAGCAGGAAAACTAAGTGAATTATTATACTATTAAAAGTATTATACTATTATTATACTATATTATTATACTACTATTATACTAATAGAAGAACTATTAAAAGCAACGCAAAAGTGAAGTGTATCTCCAAAACCTCCACGTAGGCTAGGAGGTTAGAAACTGATAGCTGTAAAAGGGTTCGAAATTTGTCTATAGACGGACCGGCGTGGTCCCTCAAAATAGTTCTGCTCGCAACGAGTTGAATTGAGAACTTAGTGGTGTCTATTCACTATACGACGGTAGATGCGATTTTAGATAACGCAGGTGATTCAAATATGGAAAGGAAATATCGTGCTACTAACTAATCATTTTTTCAGTTGCAGCGCCATAAATTGTGCGAATTAGAAACCATAAATACCCTTGAACTTTCAACATGTAAAATCAATTACTGCACAAAACATCTGTGTATGATCGAAATAAGAAAACAGTTCGAATAAAAGACCAAAATAAATAATAACTTCGAGCAATCTAAGGTACCTTTCTCCGTTGATGTCATCAGGAACATCGAAATCATCGCGCGATTGATCTGGACTAGCAAGCTCATTCGAATCCTCGTCATCCATTTCAATAACTAGGCATCGTTCTAGTCGTCGTCGTTCACTATCCAGCTCAGTTTGTATCTTCAAAACGCAAACAGAACACAGTTGTTTCCAAAAGCAGTTCAAAAGTCAGAGAACGCAGCAAACCTTGTAATTGGTGTTAACTCCTTCTTTCCACTTCTTCCGGTACTTTGCAACGTCGGAATTAAGCTGATAGTTCTGTGTTTTTAGCGTACCAAACAACACCTTTATGTCTTGCTGCTTTGCGTCCTGCAAGTGGTAAAAAAAAGTGGTATACTTGCAAAGAAAAGCATTTTAGCGCAGAAATTTGTATTAAAAAATAATCACAAGGATTTGGGTCGACTTACGTCGTGAAATCTTTGCTTGTTCAACGGGAATCATCAACAAAAGATAAATGAAAATCATAACGGCTTGGGTAATCATCCTTATGACAGAGTTAAAATCAGCTTAGTTCTTTCTAATTAAATAGATCGTAATCCGCTGACAAAAAAAACCATTATATCATGATCAACTATTATTAAACGTTTCTACCACTTTTTCAAGTCCACAATGACTCGATGGTTCGAAATTCCTATAATAACAGTTGGAACATCTAAGCTACATCATTTAGAGTTGTTAATAAAAACGAAAGTTGCGCTTTTTGTTCCTCATTTCTATGTTTGACATTGAATAAATGCTCCACAACACTATAAAGAGGATAAAGGATAACGTTCTCGGCGTTGATCGATCCCTGATGGAGGTGCCGTGCGTTCAACTTCATTAACCATAGTTGGAGGTGATTCAATGCATATTTGGCCTTTACAATGACTTGCGGATGTATCGATACAGTGCTGCTATCCTCCCAGACAAGTTTGGTTTCAATTTTCCAAACCCGAAGAGATGGAAGGTTTGCTAAGCCACGAACGCGGGGATCGACTACATGTGTGTGTGTCGCAGTGGTGTCCAACCACTTCTCCACACGAGCCAATAATAATATATCTTGACGAAATTCTGCGATATGAAGTGCAACGTTAACTGCAAAACTGATTTTAAAAAGAAAGTCGTTTCACTCTAAGAATTTAGTGCATAAAGCACATCAAAATCTCTTCCTTAAAAAAATAAAATTCTTTAAAACTCACTTGCTTACTGTGCGCTGCCAGTGATTGCTCGAACTCCATTCGTAACATATCAGACTCTGTTTTCATCTAAGCAAATAAATCAATGACGATTTACGGAACAAACTGAATATGAGATGAATTTACCGTTACTAACACTACGATTCTTTCAATACCTGATTCAAGTCCCGAGTTATCTGCTCACACAAAGACCGCATCTTCCGCATAGACTGATGTTCATCTGCCTTAAATTATGAAGTAAAAACTTCACTCGCACACCAGAATAATAAACTAATGTGACCGACTGGAACTAACTTTCATATCTTCAACCTTCTGCAGCATTTCCTGCCTCAAAAGATCACGCTCCTCGGTGACAGCTTCGTAGTCGCTTCTAAAACCTTATTTAATTTGTACTCAGTTCTACAGAAGCTAATTTAACGAAGAGTTTATGGCAGCTAACATCAAATCACAAAAACTTCAGCTTAACAAAAGAGTTGTTGAACTTGCCTAAGCCTTCGGCATTCATCGATAACGACTGAATAGAAGACGACCAAATTTTGGTATTCTGTACTTTGCATAATTTGAGCTGAGGAACTATACGCCGACTGAACAAAATACTGTCTATAAAAATAATAAGTAACTAAAAGACCGTTTAAGATAACCTTTAATTCACATTCCATTCGAACAGTATCTTCAACAAATTTTTGTATTCGTTCATTCAGCTCGTGAATCTCCTGCAGACGTTTACCAGCCAACTCAGCATTCAACTCGCTCTCTGCACGCAACTCGTCGAGCTTGACACAAAATTTTAGAAAACTGCAGGTTTCCTTGACAAAACAGGAACAAACATCAGATGAGGAGTATACCTGTGAGTCGCTCATGCCTCCACCGTTTGATAGACCATTAAGCAATCTAGTTGGTCGTATCTCACAGTTAGCGGAATTATCCTGCAAAAGAACTATTAGTATTCAGTGCGATTACAGTTATACTGCCATAGGTGAAACTGTTGAGAATATGACAAACAAGAAAAGCAAAATTTTCAACACTCAGACAACAGTAGTAGGACATACGCGCTACTGCTAGTTCATCTATAGCAACGGTTGAGCCTTGAGTTTTTTCTCGGAGTGGGTTGGATCTAGCCTCACTTGGCAGGAAACGTTGTATACACAGTTGTATACATGTGGCCCAGAAATGACTACTTTAAGACACACATGTACATGTACATACACATGTATGTACACATATGTACATGTACATGTTGCATATTTACATATATATATATGTACACACATGTATGTATATAAATACATAAATGTGCAAGCCCTTGTGCCAAAACAAACCTAAATGTTTACTTTTCTAAAAATTTCCCCCAAAATGCTATTTTAGTCAATAAATAAAATTAGAGAAATCTAAATTTATACAGCTATGCTTTCAAGAATTTATAATGTATATTATGCATTTATATATACATTTACATTTATATATACATATACATATTATATATACATATACATTTATTATACATTTATAATGTATATTGTATATTTTACCCTTTTCCATTACGCTGTAACCAGTAACTCCTTCCCCATTCTATCGCAAGAATAATTTAAAGTAGAAAATGCATAAATCTCCCTCTGATCCATAGGAGCTGCGACTGCCTGTGGTGGTTACGACCTGAAGCAGACTTTGGCCAGGCCGACCTCGGGATTCCAGGAAACCACACTGGCTTAACCAGCAAATCTCCGATAAATGGCGATTATTCTAGGACCCGCACAACCGGTGAGGATGGGCCGTTCAAGTGTCAAGTGTGTGTGTCAAAAAAACGCATTAGGGTAAGTTGAAGCAATGACCTTATCCTAACTGAAACATTCTTCCTTTGTGACAACTTCAACGTTTTATACTTCGAAAGGAAGGAAGGACAAAAAAAAGGTTAAAATGTACCGTCATCACGAGCAATATTACTGAGTTTTATTTGGTCTGCAAATGAATCAAACTAAAGAAAACCATCAAAATCTCACGCTCACCTTGACGAGAGTGTACAACTTGTAGTCGAGTTTGTTTACTTGCCGTTGTGCCTTGTCAAGATCAAACTTCGCTTCTTCAAGTTCTCGTGCCAATTCTTCATTACGTGTTGTCAGTTGCGCTATTTGGTCCTCACACTCTTTCAACTAAATTGAAATATGTTTCCTCTCATCAAAGAACCACTTTTTCAAAAAAAGCAACCGTACCTTCAAGCTAGATCGAGCATATTTTTGTTGTGCACGGTTCGTTTCTCTTTGCAGACGACTGGTTTCCTCAGCTAGTCTCTCATTCTCGGCAACAACACCATGTAAAGCTTCATCCCTATCCTCACTCGACAACGTTGAGGCTTAATGTACAATATCATAGTGGCATAGCTTATCCACAAAGAAATGGAATGCAACAACAAATATTAACACTAACCGTCAAATATACTAATCAATTTTTTACTGAAAGCTCGGTAATGATCAGATTTCCGCGCTAACTGCATCATAACCTTTTCAAACAGGCGAACACTGAAAAAAGTGTAAATCGTAGCATTCGGTCTAAAAGAAAGAATGCATGTAATCGAGAATAAAAAACGGAAATCCATTGCTCGAGAATCTTCCTCAAACCTTTGTTGAACACGCTTGTCATACACATGTTCTCCTTGAACACCTTCCATTTGCACTATCTCGTCTAAAAAATCGCCCGACACAGCTTCATCATTGCACTCCAGTAACTCCTCGACTTCTTCAGAAGACGCTCCACGAAGAGCTATCAGCCGCAATTGCTCATCCAACTTAAATTTTCCAACAGCAGTGCCGGATTTCATTCAAGAAAACTACGATAACCAGAACTAATGTATATGAAGTACTAAATGTCTAAGGATAGATTGTTCCAGCTAATTTACCAAGTAAACATACACAATTATATAAACATAAGTACTAATTAAAGTTAACTTTCTTAACGATCCTTTGCTAGAAATTGGCCCAGTCTTTGTGTTATAGCATTTCCACTTTCAAAACACTTCACTAACATTGTTCCAATGCCGATTAATTGTACAACTGGTGTTTTCATCCGTGATCTGCCTCTGCCGAAGCCGCTCTATCTCTCTCTCTTTCGTTTTAAGCTGCTTGTTTTTATGTCGCAAAGCTTCCGAAAGCTTGTAGGCTTGTACTTTCGCCTTCTTGTCGTCGATATCGTTCTAAAATAATGTTGTAACAGATAGGAAAAATGGAGCAATGTAAAGTTTTTCAGTCATCCGCTACACCAGTAACAGTGTAGCACCAACATGTTTGCTTCACATCTATAGGTTCCAGTGAAACTTGCTTGGCTAGTGAACTAAAAGAAGTACCCCACCTAAGAGTAAATCATTACCAGGCTCCTTCATGTGTCAAACTAGTCGCATGGTAGCAAATCTCCCTCTAATCCACAGTGGCGAAGACTGCCTGTGGTGGTGACGACCTGAGCCAGACTTTGGCCAGGTTGTACTTGGGACTCCAGAGGAACACAATGGCCAAACCAGCAGTGTTCCGAAGAAGTAGAGGTCATTCAGGGTAAGAACGCGCACAAGCAGTGAGGACGGGGCATCCAAGTATCCAACTATTCAGGTAAGTAAAATTGAAGTATGATTAAGCACTCTTATTCAGTCGACAAAAACCACATCGACTTCCGCACCCTGACCTTTTCCTTCAAGGAAGTAAAACTAAAGGATGACATTTTTCGCGATTTCTAGTTGCGGTGGGCATGAAATATAGAAAGCATGATTACTACTGCCGTAGTTATTGAACTCAATCCGATATGACAATTTCACCAACGATAAGTCACTAACTGGAGTTAGAACGTACCACGCCAGTGACAGAAAGTAGACGCACGGTCTCGAAGGCGACTAGTCGGCGTTTCTTCGCTGCGATCTCCCGGTCGTCGACATTCGAATGCGAATCGTCCTGATCAGAACCATCGCTATTGTCGGACAAGGAGCGCTTCGACATCACCTGCAATCACTACGTCTAACTAACAGAAAAGAGAACTGCTAAATATGAATAAGGATTTGCCTGCCTCATTTAAATCTAGCGAAGGCGAACAGATCTATTTAAGACCACTTTTCAAATGTCGGTACTCTTCTGCAGATTCAAATTGTAGTTCCTTTCAACTTAACCTAAGAACTTGGTAAGGCATAATAATAATAAACATAGAACTCTAAGTTGTAAAAGCCGTAGAAGAGGAAAGAACGAAAGATGAAGTCACGACGGTGCAAAACCTAAGAGCTGAGCAAATACGAACGAAAACCTGGCTACTAGCTAAGCCTAAGCTAGACAACTCTACATAACACCTTCATATAACCCCTTCACTTATAAATGACGAGGAATCGGTGACAAAACAGAACTACTCGGAAGACCAATGCAGGTGCTGACACTGTCCCAGATTCGGTTTCGATCTACGTTCTCGGGGTTCACGAACGCCCAAACTGGGAAAACGGCGTCAATCGGAAGCCGATACAACGAAACAATTACTGGTCCAGCAAAAAACAAGGAGTGCATTCACCTTCAGCAAACACTGCCAGGAACATGTGTACGTCCAAGAGCGAGCAGGACGATCAGCGCCCGCACACAGGGAGAAACACGACCCGCGCTGCGAACCGCAACGCGTGCGACGCAACTCCGTGCGCCTTGAATTCCGCTGGCCTCGTGATTTTCTGTGGTCTTTGTGGTCTATACTTGGCGCGTTCGATGTTCTGGTCAACGAAATGAGCAGTAGAAGACTGTTCGTGAGCGGGCTGGCGAACAATGTCCCCGAGGACGTCATTCGCTCGTACTTCTCCAGATTCGGATACCTCTCCGAATTCACACTACCGATCGAACATGATACAGGTGAGCAGTTGTGTGCTACTTTAATCTACCCTTTATGAATCCAGTAGTGTTTAGGTATGAATCGAGGTTACGCGTACATTACCTTTTCTGACGATGTGTCAACTTCGAAATGTTTGGAGGAGTCGTCGCATAAATTTCAAAACAGAGACATTACTGTGACGAAATTGTCTGATGAAGTCCGTTTTCGATTGAAGTTTCAAAGATAGAACTGTATCGGATAAAAGTGACTACTCAGAACAATCTAGCAACGATCAGTACCTTGAAATCACGGAGTCTTTTTGTTAGTTTTCTTGGAGTGGAGAATGTCACGGAGGAGTCTCTACGGCAAGCGTTCTCCGGCTTCGGTAATATCTCGTCCATTCACATTGCCAAGGTTTGTTTCCTACTTCCTTCTAACTGTTAGAAGCTAGCACATTTTGTGTCTTTATGGGTCATCACGGTGGCACTTTGAAAGGTGTTTTCTTCATCATGGAATGGATATACTCGTTGTGTCTTAACTATAAGGTCCCAGTTTTATTACTAAAGCAGTTGTGTATAACTGTTGGAATCATTAATTGGTCTAACCTGTACAACAACAGGACGTACCGAATTCTTATTAAGCTTAAGCGACTTGGATAATTTAAATGTACTATTTCTAATCTTCCTACTTTTCTAAAAATGTGGGCATGTAGCACAGTTGTCGGAAGCGCCCTACATGGAGTCGATCACCCCACCACCGGCCCACCAAGCCCTCTATTCCTCCGGGGGAGGTACCAGAATTGTCTGGGAGGCTAGCGGCACTAGCTCGACACATCGGTAGATCTCCGTGAGGAGAGACCAGGTATGCATTTAATCACCTCCAATGATCCTACATGAGGTTGGATGCATGGTGCATCCCTCGGGGATTGATCAACGCCGAGAACTTCATCCTTTTTTGTCTGAAAATGTTGATATTCTACCTGGGAAAGCTTGTTAGTGTATTGCCAAAACGATGCCGAAGATCATAGTATGGCTGCCGCTCTTCCCAGAAAGTCGAAAAGATGCAAAAGGATTACTGATAGCTTGCTTTAAAAACTGATTTCAATTCCAGAAGCTAGAATTTACTCTAGAAGTTACAGGTGAGACGCGGATAGTGCATTGAAAGTGATGTCGTTTGATACACACAAAATCCCTGTTCAGCTCGCGGAGTTTCAAATAAGTATCTCCCTTGGGTCGGAAAGTTGGTGCAAGACTTCTCTAGAGTCACCTAGATCTCTCAGGTCTCTAAAAGCCAGCGTCTGCCTGTAATGAGAATCTGGGAACTCCTCTAGTACAACAATCTCAGCATGATAAGGAGAATGGACCCGACCAGCGTTCTACTACATTTATAAAAAGGGCGAGAAATCCCCGGAAGCCGAAACTGCTTCGAGAATCTTCGCGGTTGATTTGTGATTGAAAACAAGTCGAGTGAAACGGGTTGGGATCCGTACAGAATGTTATATGGAGTCGTGTAAATTGAAGATGAGATTAAGTAGCTACTGGGAGTTTCATCATACATACATTAGTATAACATTTCTTTAACTTGTACGGGATCCTACTTCGTAGTTCAGCTCTAGTAAACATAGAAATTATTGCAAGATTCTCGGTTCCTTCTGCAAAATACCACAAAGTATTATTTCTTTTCCTCTGACTAGTCATTTTAGGATGAGGATGGACGCATCCTTTACTATGCGATAATCAAATTTGATCATGAAGAAGCAGTTGATTCTTGTCTTAGCGTAAATCACTGCATAAATGGACGGTAAGGTTTTTCTTTCTCATTTCAGTAAGATAGTTCCTCATATTCGTTTTGTTGAGATCCATTACTATAAGAAAGGCAGTTACAAGAGAGCGATTAAAACTGGCTGAACAATATGCTAGGGAGCAGGCTCATCTTGAAGAACATGTGAGTTAGTTTGTCTATAATGAGCTTCACTCTTTCTGTGCCGTATTGTTTATTACCAAGCTTCTATTTAGCGAAAACATGGTTATGCTGGATATGGACAACCTCCTGCTAACGCTGCTGTTAAAGTATGGTACACTTACCATTCTATTTCGTCTACATTGCGAGTGTAATTATTTGATACAACCGCATTTTATCATCAGAGTTGCAACTCTTCTCCCTATATTCTTAACAACTACTTATCCCAATGTGAAGCACGTGGAGAGCGATATTACCAAGAATACGAAAGCTACCAGCAACAAGTAATAGAGTACCAAAAGCAGGTGATTTTAATCTCTCGCCTTTTCGATTTTTAGTTTCATAATCCAATAGTTTTTAGTCCATGAAGTCGTTCCGCTAGGGTGTTCTCGAGAAAACTTCTCTGAATGCTCAAATGAACTTATTTTATACAAATGTTTTCCATGTTCATACTCTTGCGACGACCTCTAATTTAGCTTCCTTTTGCGGAGTGGACGACGTCTGATTTTTCGCTGTGTTCAATGTGGCACCCGTAGGAGTCTTACCGGCCACTTCAATTTTTATTTAGTTCTCCCCCTTTTGTTGTGTTTTCCGTTTTAAAAAACGGTTTATTTCTGCGTTTTGAAAGGAATTTCTGCGCCTTTTCACTAACTACGCTCTCTAGGCAGCACACTTTAATAACAATAAATACAATAGATCCGTGAGAAATTGTGATGAGATTCTCCAGTAGGCAATGCCTTCCATGGTATTTGCATTGAATAAGCTATTGATTGATTACAAGAAGTACAGGGAAACATGTGTGAAAGTGAGCCACCAGAAAGAAAAGGAGACTTATCGATGTTTTGCCGGCCACTCCCGCAGAACCATTATGACACCTATAGGTGTTATTCGTCGTGAGAGTGTTAGTTGTTTGGGAGGAATAGTAAAGAACAACTATTTCAGTTAGCTGAATATCACGAGAAATTAAGGAAGTATCATGGTGAAATGCAACAGTATCAGATGCAACGACAGTATAGGAACGCGTTGGATCAAGCAACGTTTCATAACGCTTATAACTACAATTTGTCGAGTCAAAGTTAGTTTTATTAAGGACATGTTTTTTAGACAATATTTTTTTTTACATTGATAGGCGACTCGTCTTTTTATGGCGACCAGAGAGCGAAAAGGAGCAAAATCAAGCATGTACTTGTCTTCAGTGTTCATGTATTCAGTGGACGTGCTTCCTGTCTGTTGCACTGCGTCAGCATATATTTTGTAACGAAGTTATGTATTGTATGTGCATTCTATCCTGCACATCGAATCGTATAATCTCCTATGCTGGTAGATACGTGAAACATTGCCTTTTCCAGTACTTGTGTCGCGTGTCTAACTGGATCAGTTGCTCATGGGAGCCTTTTGTTCAGAAGCCATAAGAATAGTTCGCTTTGTATACCTTATACGGGATACGTGTTCTTCGACCGAGAAAAACCCAATGACTAGGTTTAGCACGCAGCGGTTAGGTAGAGACTTCTTTGGTATGTTGATGGTTAATAGGTCCTGGAAAGTATCTTTAAGTCTGTCGGTTAAATATCATTTTATTGGTTTTACTATGGTAAAAAGATAGTCCTTAAAATTATGCAGTTATGAAATGTGAAAAAGAAACATGTGCTGAAATCTGTGGATTATTTTAAAAGAAAGAAAAAGTTTGTATTGGGACTTCCTAGATTGCATGATGGGATTTAGCGTAGCAATCGACCAAGGCATACGTGGTCTCTTCCATAATGATTTCATATTTAATTTATGTATTTGTTTTTAAGGCGAATCTGGATCTTCCGAACCTCATCATATGAGTGACGAAACCGGCATTGTTGCACGAATGAGAAACTACGGATACAGTGGTCAATAAAGGCAGTAGAATGATTGTTTGATGCTTATTTATGACGATATTTACTTATTTTTATTATATTGAGAACGTACCATCTTCCATATAAAGTGTAAAATACACGTAGATTACTTGCATAAGTGTCCGAAAGCCACTCCAGATATTTCACTGATCATTCCTTTCATCGTATAGAGTACATTTTTTTGAGCTTTTTGATGTAATGTTATGGCAAACAATATGCGAGGATACTGCTACATACGAGTTTCCTGTTTGTGGACGTGATTACTTCGATAAGGTTTGTCTTCTTCAGCGTCTCTTCGGTTGAGTACTACTTACCTTACTTTAGTTAGTGCTGATATGGAAATCTCAGTGTCAGTCGGTGAATCGTCGTCTTTTTGGCACTGTTAAAGTTGATGGTCACAGCGAAGAGTGTTTGAAAGTCGTTCACAAGGCTGCGGAGCTAGCTGACCGTTGTAGGTTAACTTAATTTTATCATTCAACTGCTGAAAAATTAGCTGTAATCGTTTAGCCTATGCTGTGAAGAGATTTGAAGTCAGGAAACTAGTGGCGAAGGATATCACATTCTCTCAGTTAAGCTATGAGGTTTCGTTTACAGAAGGTATGGCCAGGATTTGTATGGGTTCCCTTTTCTAGTATATTCTTTCCTACTTTCAGACGATTCTTGCGTTGTCTTCGTTCCCGTGCAACTTGATTGCAAGTCTAAAAAATTCCCCCATATTCCTTTCTCATATAAACTGAGCTTTGTGCAGCTTTCGGATTACAGGTAAATCGGTTTTTACGTATCTTTGATATTTTGTGCATTTCTGCATAACCTCTGTTATCAGTTCACTGGTTATATTGTGCTTCAGGGTACACCTAAGTCTTTCGGTACCAACCACTGTGCTTAGCTGTGAGTGTGAATGGGTTTTTAGCAACATGTTCCCTACCATGGTTAAGTGGTTGAAGTTTATCGACCCTCGGAAAGTAGTGCGTAATTCCAATAGTTTATTAGATATTGAGAAGTATATTGTTCATTACAATATGATGAAAGAGAAGTATGGACGTCAGTTAGTGAAGGTGAGCATGAAATACGTTATAGAAAGCATGTGGTAACATTTTTCTTTCTTATTTTCCAGAATTGGACGGAAAAAACAGATCCAAAGAAATTCGTATATGAGGATTGCGGTATTGCTACATATTTGTTGGTTGGTTTTTTCCTTTAACTGTCTACCAGGAAAATATTGATTGATTGCGATTTATAGGAATTTTGGAGGATACGTGAATGCATTCCTAGAAAGTTTGTGGACATAGGATGTGGTAATGGATTATTAGTCCATCTGTTTAATAAAGAAGGAGTAAATTTGCCATAATCTTCTGCTGACCATCTTATACCATCATCTTATCAACTTTGCCTTAATTTTAGTATTCAGGTTAACGGTATTGGCATTGATATACGCAGTAGAAAAATATGGGCGAATCAGCTCAGCGGGACTACACTTATTGAAGCAGTCTTTGATCCTGCTCAGGTTAAGGGTTTCAGAAACCACATTGATTTACTGTCTCCGTTACTGTCCTTTTTCAGAAGGAAAATCCGTTGCTTGATGGTGTGGATTATCTAATTGGAAACCACACCGATGAACTAACACCTTGGATACCGCTAGTGGCAGCGAGGTAGCAGTTTGTTCAAGCTATCCGTTGTTTCTATTCTTTCTTTTATCCACATACGTCTTATGAAACTTGAAACTTTTTTTTGCTTAACTGCCTAACTTTTTTTTTCATTTGTATGCATATATGCACAAACACCTATGTACACAAGCATATGTACTTATATACGTGCCGGTTTATATATCCATATATATTTTTTGTTAACAATGTTTACTTTTTATTTTTTGCCTTCTATAATCTTTATGGCAGGGTATTAAATGAAAAATAACCACAAGGTTACTAAGATATTTGCAAAACTACGGACCGCAGGTGTCTGCGGTGGGAAACTATTGTCCTTTCCGGGGAGTAAAACGTTCACTACCGCATTATGCGGGTCCGTCGTTTCGCTTCCCACCGCAGACACCTGCGGTCCGGAGTTTTGTAAATATCTCAGAAATCTTGTGGTTGTATTTTTTTTTATTGTATTATATGGCCCGTCACGCCTGCTATGCGGTTCTCTGCACTTATCACATTCGATTCGTTTCTTCGCATCCATTGTCCACGAAGATCTTCCAACTTTTGCGTGTGGCTTCGGTTGCTGTTTGAGCATTTCCATTTTGTTTTGAATGTTGTAGAGCGATGGTCGAGCAACTCTCCCTGGAGTCCTGAGATAGCCGGGCAGAAGCGTTCCCAGTTGGATTACCGCGAGTGATTTTTTCCCAGACAAGTCCGGTACAAATTTCCCGACCCCGGAGGGATAAGAAGCTTGGTTGACTAGGAGCGGAATCGTGCTACCACTATTCTCATGGTGAACATCACTACCACTGTGCTATCCGTCCGCTTATATAAGTATGTATGTATATGTACGCATGCATATACATCTAAACATGTGTATACATGCGCATACATATGTGTATATATTTTATGTATGCGCGAGCCTGTAAATATACATGTGAATGCACATATATATATGCATATGCATGCATGTTAATCTGCGGATGGGCGTGGCGCAGTGGTCGGAGGCGCCCTGTAATCAAACATGGGATCGATTCCCGCGCCCCTAGCCAGCCAAATTCTATCCCTCCGGGTTCGACAAATTGTTACCAAACTTGTCTGGGAGGATGGCAGGCACTGGCTCAATACATCGGTAGGCCACTACGAGTCATTGTAAAGGCCCGATATGCATTGATTCAGCAACAAATGATATTTAGTGAAGTCGATTGCATGGCGCATCCCTAAGGTATTGCTCAACGCCGAAAGCTTTATTCTTTATTAGAGCTTTATATTTCTCTGCGGTTAGTCTGAATGATAATATATTATTAACATTTTAAGGAGGAAATGTGGATTTTTTGTGTTGCCATGCTGTCCGTTCAGCTTTCATGGAAAATACATTCCTCGACCAGGTGACACTGGGAGTCAATATGACTCCTTCCTGAGATTCTTACGAGAGGTGAACCTTCGTAATAAACACATTCATGAGATTATTGGATTTGCATCTACATGCACCCTAAAATACTCGCGCCTTCCATTTTTAGTACATTCTTGACGAAATTGATTTTTCGACAACCGATGAAAATTTGTGCACTAATAGAGTAGTGGAAGAGCGAGAACTGCGCAGATTTAAAGAACAGAGTTTTTCTATCGCTATGAAGATATGTTGTAAAATGTTCTTTCCATTTCAAAAGGAATCCTCCAAAAAAGTTATTGGAAACGATGTTCAACTAAATTATTTTAACGATTTCACTGGCATGGGAAATTTTTGAAATTCCCCACACAATCGCAACAGCTGAAAAAGCAGTAATTAGCGAACGCTGTGTTATTCTGGTGGACAAAATCCTTGTCGTTCGGTTGCTTTCATGTTCAAAATGCCAGCCTTATCGCAAAGAAAAAGTTAGAAATGTTCGTTTCGTGAGCTCCACAATTTCTTGGAAAGAAAAAAACCAAGGAGAAAATCAAAACAAAAAAAAAATAAAATGGTAATATGACAGAACTTGTATCTTGTACTAGCATATCTTTGTATTTTAATTGGTCTTGTTTACATTTAAAAAAGTTTACAAGAAGTCATTTTGGTTTAAGGTTAAAAGCGGCTATTACTTTCGCACTTTATGGTTCCATGTAAGGTGGCGTAATCACGAGTGTATTGAACAAGCGTAGCTTTGCTGTAGGTAGACATTGCTAACTGGCGTATAAATTATTAGAATCTGCAGATCTTTGATAACTAGATGCAAGCATTCAGAGGCGGGATTCTGTTTTTTCAAAACGTGAAAAGATTTTCACTTTTCATGTTTTGAATAACCGAACGAACAAGTGGGATTCGGTCAAGCAAAACAAAAGGTCATGCGAAGAGAACCCACTCCGTTTGGCATGTTATGAATTCAGCAAGTGCTTTAATTCTCGGAAGCCCGATGGCGATTGCCATGCGACAGTTGTCTTCATGAATTTGTTAAGACTCTTTATGTCACTAACTTCTTTCTTTAAGTCGGTTTAAATATTTAATTTTAAGATATGTACCCGTTTGGGGTTTATTGTTGAAGAGGATCGACTTAGCATTCCTAGTACAAAAAGGGTAAGTTGTTTATTGTTCTATTCTTTTTCCAGTTTCGACCAGTTAAAGCTTCTTTTTTTAATCTAATTTCTCAGTTCCTTGTTGTACCGTAAATAGTTGGGAAGCTCTTAATGCTTTTATTGGTGGTTTATTCGTTCTATGGTAACTTTAAGTAGAACTTTAGCTTTGTTTTGTATGCAGCATTCCTTCTAATGGACTTGTTCCAAATGTTGAAGAAATTATTGAGCGGCTTACTGGTTCCGCGGTAGACGTTTTTCAACCAAGAGTTAAACAGGAACAGGTAACTCTATGAGAGTTTGAATACTATTGTTGCGTGTTGTTGGTGATGTAGAATATCTGGATTAAGGTTCGGAATTGTCTAAATATTCCTAAGGACATCCGCACAACGTTAATTCATCGTTTCTTTAATGTGCTACTGGAAAGAAATGATGAGATCAAGGAGTGAGTTTCTCTTGTTTCGTACAAATTCTCGGCAACCATTCTCTGTAACCTTTTTCTGCCTACTATAATTTTTTACGGCAGGGTGTGATCTGAACTACAACCGCCACAATACCGAGATATTCACAAAGCTTGGACCCTGGGGCAATCTAACCACGATTACCCTTTCTGGAGGCTCGCGCATTGCACACTGTGCCACGGAGGCCTTTGCCCTGCGTTTTTCTCATCTAGTTTTAGTTCTCTTATCTTACCCCGTCTTGAAAATTTATAGTAAGCAGAAAATAAAAGGGTGGCATTGTGACTTCGATTACAGCCTCTGTTTAACTGGGTTAAATGCCGATGTGGACTCTCCAGATCAATCCCGTTTACGGGTGGTTGCTGATGGCAGCGTTAGGTAGAGAACTGGTTGAGAGAAATGGAAAACAAGGGTCTCAGTGGTAAACTGTGTGATGCACGAGCCCCCGGAAAAGGAAATCGTAGTTCGATCTAGCCTAAGATCCAAGTTTTGCGAAAATCTCAGCATCGTTGTGGTTTTAATTCACATCATACTATAACCGTTTATTGTTTGCAGCGGATGGCGCTGTGGAAGGGCAGTCGGACTCAGTGAATTAGCTGCACTCCTTAGTGAGGAGGAAAAACAATTAATGAAGCGACAGTGTGGAGGGCTACAAACCTTTTTACGGAATCAGCATCAAATATTCAAGGTTAGTTTGTAAGGAACATTCTATGTGCAATGTTCTCTTCCTGTCAGGGACTTTATAACGGTTCTTGTCGAATTCTGAGGAAAATAGAAAATTTAGGTCGTTGGTGGTAAGGCATGTATACGTGATTGGCGAGAAGAAGGAACATTAAAGTCTAAGAAATCAAAAGCTGCCTCTTCAAGCAATAGAGCTGCGCTTTGCTGGATGGAAGAAATTCATCCAGATGGCTGTCCCATGAAAGATAAGTGTCATTTCAAACACATGAAGAACTTGTGATTCAGAAATATGAAATGCTGATTCGTGTAAATTAGATGGATCTGGCTACAACTATTTTTGATGATATACATTCATGGGTTTACAAATCTGGTTACGGTATAAAAACTAGGGTGGTTTTCCTACTATGCATCCATATTTATTAAAAATTGTTGACCTTTTATTGTTTCTGTATCCTTGTTATCCTTGTTAATGCCTTGAATAAACAGTTTTCCTTGCCATTTTCTCTCATGGAAGTGTTTGAAATCACTTCGTAGTGCTACTTAAATGTCTTATTTTTTGAACGATTTTATTATCTGCTTTGTTTTTTTCATGGAGGTCCATTTTTTTGTGAATGTTAGGCTTCGATTGAATCACAGTGTCAGAGCGTGCTATGTGGGAACCTTCATTCGTCGAAAATGTGCTTTACTTAGCTGATTCTTACAAGGTATTCTATGTTTGTAGAGGTTTCCATTGCTTAGATTTAGAATTGCTTTACCAGATTACTCATCATAATCAATATCCTGAAGGAACGACTAATGTTTATTCATATTTTGAAAGCAGAGGAGGAAAATTTCCTGAGGTTGGTTCTGTTGCTTAAAGAATATGGCGATGTGTTATTGTTCGTTATGCTATTTTTCCATGTACACGCATATACTTCGTGCTTCTTTTCAGGTGTGCTTCTTCGGTCTGCAGTATATTCTTAAACGATGGCTCGTTGGAGCTGTCGTTACACATGAAATGATAGATGACGCCATAAAATTTTACAATGTATGTATTAGTGCATCCGTGGGTTTGCATTAATATCATCATTTTTTTCTATTTCAGAGCCACTTCAATATGCACGTTTTCAATGAGGCTGGCTGGAGACATATTGTGGAGGTGTGAGCTGTTGATGTTGCAATATCCATACCTACTTTATCTCTACTCCCGTTGTTATTTAGAAGCATAGAGGCCATCTTCCACTTCGGATAAAAGCCATACCAGAAGGTTGTGTAGTTCCAACGAAGAACGTCCTCTTCACCATTGAAAATACTGATCCTGCAGTTCCGTGGCTCACTAACTGGTTTGAGGTTCGTTGGATTTATTACTTGTGCTTTCAAGAGCGGAGATATTGACTGGTTACATGTAGTGCCATTTGTTTATGGTTAAGGATCACCTTAGAACCTTGTGGCACCTCACTACTTCAGACGTTACTGGTCCAGACATGGTATCCCATGACGGTTTGCACAATTTCGAGAGCATACAAACAACAGATTGCACGATACCTATATGCAACAGGCGATTCTTTGGATAGCCTTCCATTTAAACTTCATGATTTCGGCTACCGAGGTTCAACCTCTGTTGAGGCATGTGCATTCACTCATTCTACCTGCAGATTATCTTAATTTTCTTTGAGGTTATACATGCTTTTAGAGCGCCGGGATAGGTGGTGCTGCACATTTAGTCAATTTTATGAGTACTGATACGATTGCCGGTTTGAAGCTTTGTCAGAAATACTATTCTTGCGAGATGGCGGGTTTTAGTATACCAGCTACCGAACACAGGTTCTTTTTTGAGGTTTTCGTTCCTTAAGCAGAAATCTTTTTCAGTCTATGTTTTAGTGGTGTAGTATGAGCTAAAGAGTCTGCATCAGGTCGACAGATCTTTGCAGATTAGTTGATTATATATAAGTACACTATAGATGGATCTCTTTTACATGTTTTCTTTTAGTACGAAACAAGCAAAAATTTGCTACGAATGCATAACATATATGTTTTATCGAAACGAAAAAGCGAAACTATTGTATAAAGTATTCAGCACGATTACTACATGGAAACGTGAGGGTGAGGTGGCTGCTTTTCGAAATATGTTGAAGCAATATCCAAAAGGTTTCGTTAATTCCTTTGATCATTGTTTAGTAAGGAAATATGTAATCGTAGAATGAATTTCTTCTCCATAAAGACTTGTTTCAATTTCCAATCCATGTGTTTATAATAAACTAATATCTTAGAGGAACGCAGACTTTTCTATAGGGTGCGCCCCTCCTAAATCCACACTTAGTTGTCATAGGCTATGAGTTAAGTGCTTAAATGCCGGCGTTTCTTAGTTTCTAGGAAGCGTTGGAATTTTTATTTATTCATCTTCATTGTTTGCACTATCGTTCCAAATATTTATCAAACCTGATTATGATTAGTCTTTCCTTACCTATCGTTCCTTCGATCTATCTGCCTTTCGCCATTTATGCCTTAACTCTGCCCATGTGTTTTTACTATCTTTCACTGGTCTCATTCTAGTTTTACTTTTTTTCAAATTATCTCGTAGGTTTGATCTCCGTTGTGTCCGACTCTTACGACGTGTTTCATGCGGTTTCCATTATTTGGGGAAAGGAACTTCGTGAAGAAGTTATTGAGCGAGGTGCCGACGGCTGTCTTGTCATACGTCCTGATTCGGGCGACCCTATCTCGGTATTAGTAAAGGTAGGGTTTTGGTTGACTGAGTATTTGATGTCGTATTTGTCTCAACAATTTGATCATTTTAAGAACGAGATTTTTTGCTGAGGAGTTGGTAAATTTTGGAGTAATTGGTTGAGCTGAGTAATTTTGGTTCTTTCAAGGTGCTAACGTTACTAGAGGAGAACTTTCCTGTAACTGTGAATAGTCGTGGGTACAAAATACTGCCAGCATATCTTCGTGTTATTCAAGGTGACGGCATAAATTATGAATCAACTGGTGCAATTCTTGAAGCGTTGATGGTGAGAGTTTCCTTTGGAATAGCGTTATTTACATATTCTTTATTCCTCAAGGTACTATAGGAAGCCGGATGGAGTACAGACAATGTTGTGTTTGGTGCTGGTGGTGCTCTTCTACAGAGAGTCGACCGTGACACGCAAAAATGTGCGTTCAAATGCAGCCATGTCGTTGTCAATGGAGAACAAGTAAATTTAAATTCCGGTGCTTTTAGTGTTGAGCTCATTCCGCTTCATGAAGTGGATCGTCTTCGTTCCGTTCCATTTGTGTTTTTCACTAAATCTGTTTAGATCCTCTATGCTGTGACCAAGCTGTTTGTATTTCTACATTGTTGGATATTTTAGAGAGATGTTTACAAGAATCCTGCAACTGACGAGGGAAAACGATCTAAAAAGGGATATTTGACATTAGAACTCAATTCATCAGGGAGTATGGAAACTGTCCAGGAGGGACTAGGTGATCCTAAAAAGGTGCATGTTTTCTTAAAAACACTTTTGTTAACGTTACGAATGGCCTTTTTTCCGTTACTTTATATTCATTAGAATTAGTCTTTCTCTTCTCAACTTCACCATAGCAACGTTGCGCTTAAAGTTGCTTTAAAAAGGAATTCTTCTTCTTATGGATAACATAATTTTGGCCGAATAAAACTATGATTGGAGGTGCATTTATTTTCTAAAATAAAATTCGTTTTAACACAAGTAACTCATAATGCTCTTAGGATCTTCTTCAAACGGTCTTTGAGGACGGTCATCTCTTAGTTGACTGGACACTAGATGAAATTCGCAAGAGAGCTGAAATAGACCTAGAGAAGATATGGAGGCGGAAATCGCATGTGAATGGATACTCGGACAATTCGATGGATGTCTGATTATCTGCTTTTTGTTTATTGTACGAAAATACGTAATATTGCTTGCTGACAGGCTGTGCATACTATTTCACGTTTTCTTCTTGCTCAGGATTGTGAAGTTTTAAGCCTCTAACGTTGTTGTAGACACGCTACTTACCACTAAGCTGAATGTAAGTGCTTACTTGAGACTAGGTAAGCGGTAAGCTGCACTGGATTATGTTATACAGGGGTTAATATACGTCTGAGATCTTACTCATCTGTGTTAAAGTAGCTGTCTTGGCATTCATTTATAGTTCATGGATCTTAATATTCCTGATCTGTCCTCGTGTTCACTGCTTTTCTTCCGTTGCATGTTGAGAACCTGTTACTCCCAAATTACTCTGAATTTCATTCTATAAAGTTTATGTTTTATTCTCAGATTTTTATAGCAAATAATATTCCACAAATTTCCCCCAACTGCATAGCCTGAATAATCATATTATGTGAGTTGTGACAACCTTAGAACTGAATGACCACCCTAGAGTACCAGTGATGTGTATTCTGCTAGGAATTGTTTTTTTCTACGTTGATAAATCTTATATACGATTGACTAATATGAAGTGATATCTGGATTTGGTCATTCTCCCTTTCTTTGATAAGGAAACTGAGCACTGAGAAGTATAACGTTGACAGGTGTTTTCAAGACGGATTCTGTAGAGGTTTGTTTTAATCGTGTTCTGTTTTGTTCTTGTTTAAATGTGGTAAATACTATTCCGAAACTTCTGTTGTACCTTCATCTCTAGTGGTTTGTCAAGAATGTTCCGTTACCGATGGTTTCCTCATTCTTTTGGTAGTTTACGATGTATTTCGATCAAGGAAAAGTTGAAAGGATACGAGTTTCCCGAACTCAAAAAAGAGGACTGTGAACAAGTGCGAGTCATCTCAATAGTTATGCTATTATTGAAAGATGGTGTTTTACCAAAAAGAGTAGGTGTTGGATCGATACCTTCAGAAATACGTATCCGGTTGGGGTCCAGGTGGACAAAAGGTGAATACTGCTCAGAACGCCGTTCAACTTCGGCATCTCCCTACTGGACTAGTGGTGAAGGTGGTGACTCAGTTTTGTTTCTATTCCAAAGAAGTGTTGTATTTAATGGTTCTTTTATTTTAATTTTAGTTCATTAGCAAAACGAGGTTATGATTGGGGATTGAATTTTCCGGACGTTTTCAGTCTCTCTAAAATCTTAGAACGTTTTATTTGGGTAGAAGAACTACTACGTTTCCCTCTATCGCTTAGGAACATGGTTTATTCAAATTGTTTTTACAGGTACATGAGTCTCGTCTTCTGTCAAAAAACGTCGACATTGCTTTCGAACGGATGAAACATGCTCTAGATCGACATCTTAACGGTGACAATTGCTACGAAGAACAATACAAGAAGTTGCAACGAGATAAAGAGGCAAGAACAAATCGGAAACGGGAATCACAACGGCTCAAACGAAAGGAGCTGATTGGGTCAACAGAATATTCACAGGGTGATCGATAATGTGAATGGTGGCCAACGTATTTGGACTAGATGTTCACAACAGATGCCTAGAAAGTAAGGGAGATAAAATGTATGCTTCTGATGAAAAGAATAATATCATGGATACTCGAAAGCCATCACAAAGATGTGGTTGAACTCACCCAAGGACATTACCGAGTCGAATAAAATCCTTACTGGAGATAAATGTTGATTCTTGGTATCTTTGACAGCAGAAAAGAATTAGGTTACTTTAAACATGGATTAGAAGCTTAATAATGTTCCAGAGAGCTGTGATCTTGTCCAGCGAATAGGCTTGTCTACAAAATCGCTCTAGTTGGATTCTGACTATTCAACTTTGTTCACCCGTGGCCGTGCGTTGTCTCCCCTTCTTAATTTTTGCATTTTTTCCTACTCATAACAAAGTTTGCATTTCGAAAATGGTATTTGAAACTTTCTACGAGCTTAGTTTTATTGTCACTCCTCTACTTTCTCTGAGACTTTGCACTGACATCATTGGGTAGGAAATTGCTTAAGTCTCATGAAGTAGCCAAATGATGAATTGTGAGTACTAAATGCATAGCACTAGCGATGGCTGAAATACTGAGACATCTAGAAAGAATTAATATAAAGGTAGATGGTTCGTTGAGAAGATCGGATTACAGCGGTGTGTTGATGAAATGATGGCTTGAGAAATGTGCAAGCTTAAAACAGGTCAGACGATAAACACATAGAGTTCGTTCTTTAATTGTCATTCGACATGCTCAGGAGCCAGCTGTTCTATCTTTTGGCTTTCCTACCGGACCGACGTCAATTATTCCTGCTGTAATTCCATATGCATGCAGCCACACAAGCTATTATGCAAAGAAAGACGCCGATTCCGAAGATCACCAGCATCACTCTGAAGACAGTTTATTACAATATTGTGAAAATCTGCGACTTATTTACGGATCAGCACTTCTATTTCCATTCTGCCTGTTATTACACAGAAATTCGGCACTTAAAAATGAATAAGGATCTGCTAGTGATTACTTGAGGAGGGTGAAGAGGTCTGCATATCTCTGTTTCTAAACCGGCACTGTTTTTCAATTCAACATTGCAAAAGAGATTTTGTAACAGTTTGAGTATTGACCGATACTAATGTATTTTACCAACATCACCCATGTCTCCAATTGAATGCAACACTCGTATATGTTGTAGTCGCAGCACGTCCAGTGGTAAAAAATCGTGTCCGCACCGCATCTACCATAACTACAAATAGTGAATTCAGCTAAGCAGAAGTCGTTCCATTTTTTTAATTTTATTTGATCCGTCTTCACGTCTACCGTGCGGATCCTAGCACTTCTCACATTGAGTTCGTTCCTTCCTATCCATTGTCTACGAAGATCTAACAACTTTACGAGTGGCTTCGGTTACTGGTTGAGGGATTTCCATTCCATTTTGAATTTCGTAGAATGCTGGTCGATCTCTCCTTGGAGTCGTGAGGTAGGCGGGTTGGAGCCCTCCCAATTGGATTGCTGAGAGTGATTCTTTTCCCAGACAAAGCCGGTACCAATTTCTCGACCCCCGGAGGGATAGGAGGCATGAGAGGCTTGGTTGGCCTGGAGCGGAATCGTGCTAGCACCATGTTCGTGATGATGGGCATCACTTCCACTGTGCTATGCGCTCAATAGTCGACGTGGATTGAGTACAATGAATGCCATCGTTCCATTGCCATGTAAAATCGTTGGACTCTGTGATTCAGTGGAGACTAGGTTTTCTATCAAAATGGATTAGGTCATGTAGTAAAACAAATCTTTTTTTCTAGTTATCGACCCACTTGCAATAGTTTCCGAATAGTAGACGTCCGTAAAGCAATTTCGTAGAACTCACCCGAATCCATAACCTCCACCGTATCCACCAATACCACCCAAAACACTCGAAAGAAGTCCACCACCTGGGCAGCCGTACATCGCTGCTGAATTCCTTGCTAGAGATAGAAATACGGCTGAATAGAGGCAAATGGCCTCCATAACTTCACTAAAAGAACGTGTGTTTTTTCTTCTTCGCCTTTGTCCGTAGTCACTTTCAGCGATATTTTTGCAGCGTTCGGCACAAAAAACGTGCTAGATATTTTGGAAAGTGATACAGAATAAGGTTGCAACAATGCTGATATCAGGCTTCGAAGACGTTTCGAATGGCACCGCTGAGATTCGCATAACCAGACGATGCAACTCCGTATGGAGATGAAGGTTCATAACGTTTCCTGGTCGTTATTTAAAGGAACGTTAAAGGTCATTGAAAAGTATTTCACAGTTACAGTGGGATTTTTGCAAAACTCGGACTCTAGGCGAGATTCGAAATCATGATTATTCTCACGGGGCGCTGAGGTATTAACCACTGTTTCGCCGAGGCCCCTACTTTACCTTTCTGTCAGCAAATTTTTACCCTAACGGTCCCATCAGTACGAGCTTCAAGTTTCATCTATTATCGTCGACAGTGTGTCGTCAAGAATTTTACACGCTACTCCATTTCACATCTGTTGTTCGAAAACCAGTATTTATTGCGTTCTATTCGTTTCCTCCCATCCATCATCCACGATGGTCTTCTAACTTTTTGCACGTGGTTTCGGTTGCTACTTAAGGATTTTTCCCTTCATCATGAATGTCGTTAAATTTTCCTGGAGTTCTCTCTCCCTGGAGTTCGGTTATATCGGGGTAGAGCGTTTCGGCACCGGCCAGAACCAACACCGTACTCAAGATGATCGGGTTCATACCTAGACTACCACTGCTGTACCTGTCTTCTGTTGCCAAGAATGTAGAATCAATATACACACATGAACTGAGCGATAATTGTTCACTCATTTTTCCTTCGCAGTTTTCACCATTAACAGTTGACTACGTTGTACGTTGTACGTTGAGTTGCTTAGTTGGCTTAGGTACAGGAATCGAACCTAGGGCCGTCCACTGATGACTACACATTAGTTGCCAATAATTGCACAACTTTATATACCTGACATTATAAAAGTAGAAATATTGCCCAATAAAAGAGAAGCGAATGGGTGGTAGCTTTATCGAATTCGCCTATTTATTTATTTATATTTACATAGGAATCGCGAATGATCAACTCTTTCTACCTGGATGATTTGTAATTGGTCTTCGGGTGACTGAGTTCTTTTGACGTTTTTTTTTCCTTGTTGTAAATATTAGTGAAAGATCGGAAGAATGGAAATAAACACGGAGTAAGGATGTTTTCAACTTTTTGAGCGGAAGTATTCTGCTTGCATATGAGGCGTATGTAAAACGGAGAAGCAGTTTTGGTAAGAAATAGGCACTAACTACCAGATTCTCGTAACCTGGGCTATTTGAAAACATTCTTGACGGCTATGATTATCATCTGTATTAATGGAATAAGTGGCAATGTTGGGTAAAGTTCATTAGAAGTGCTTAAGTGGAGGGGGGTATTACTAAGATGATAATAGCAACAAGAATATAAACACTAATAATCAGAACAAGTAAGAATAAAACTGGGAAAGGGAATTAAAATCTACTATGAAGTTGAATAGGAACAAAAAGAGTAAATAAAACATCTTGGATGTGTTCTCAGTAAAGTCCATTTTATCGTGGTAGATTAAGAGGATTTGTATCCAGCAGACTGAAATCTGTAGATTATAAATGTTTCTGTTGCATTTTATGAACCTCAGTGTGAACTGAGGTATGTAGACAGAAAGATGAAAGGGATTGCCATTGTCAAATCCTATGCATTGGGAATAATGAGCGCGGTTTAGACTGTGTTAGTGAGCGCGAATAGATGAGTGGTGTAAACCAGCAGAGATTGAACTCGAAGCTCTAAGCTATAAAACGGTCTCTAGATCCGAATAGATCATCAGGTGGCCCTTAGATCGTATTTTGTTTACTTATCGAACTCCCGCGTAGAAATGAGCTCTAGATGACAACAGTGGCGGTGGAGGAAAGCGACAAGTGAGAAATCGTCGACGAGTTCAAGACCACTACTTGACTGGTCACGATACCACGAACAAAGATGCAAATATTGAACTCCAGAATTAGGGTTACGTAGTCCATTTGATATTTGAGCGACGAAATCGGAAGAGAATAAACGTACAAACGAATAAAATAGCGTAATTGATAGCTGGAGCAATATTGGATGCCTAAAGAGAACACTTTCCATAGAAGGATAAGGATAAAGCTCTCGGTGTTGATTAATTTCTGAGAGATGCGCCATGCATCCAACTTCATCGAGCATCTTTAAAGGTGATTAAATGCATATGTGACCTATACGGCGGCTCCCGGTGGCTCGCCGATGCATAGAGCCACTGCTACTATTCTTCCATGGAGGTCTGGTATCAATCTGCTGACCACGGAGGGATGGAAGGCTTTGTGAGCCTCAGGCGCGGGATCGAACCAAGTGCACTGCAGAACGAATCTGGCCACCGCGCCACAGTCTACCCGTTTTTGTCCAATGAACCGTAGAGTGATACACATTTAGTGAGCAGATAATAATATTCTGCTTATAAAATAGAATGCCATCCTTTTTTATTTTGCTTTGGCAGGGCAGTTTTAGTTTAACAATGATCCATTACACTGAGAGATGTCATACTCTGGCTTCCTTTCTTCTTCTCCATATTTGACCTATACTGCTTCCTTCACACATATATAACGCACATCTATTTAACTTCCCTGTCATGTCGTTCTTATAGCTTTGGAATCGAAATGCATCTTAAAATTAATCTCTCTCGTCTCGCACGGCACTTTTGCTTCCAGCTCAATTTACTGGCCCTTTACTGCTAGTAAACAACGTTTCCAGTACTATTCGTCCTCCCGTTTCTTTATTGGCAATTGTCGTTCCTCAATGAAGTACATATGCAGCTCAGTGGCACGTAGCTATTACGGTAAGCTGTGGACTAAGACACTTTTTTCCACTAATGAGAATGATGTTTGAAAACATATAAGACTACGCCTGTGTAGACTCTCTTCTTTGAAGTTTATCTGGGACATGCCGATTGAAATACACGTTCATTTCTTAAAGATTTCGACTATTTTCTACTCTCTTCTTCAGCGATCCATCTCTGATTCATCTATCTCTCTTCATGATGCAACAAACACGTGGAGTTGATATCCGCACCCATAGTCCACCAAGCCTTCCATCCCTCCGGGGTTGGCAAATTGGTACCAGACTTATCTGGAAGGATAGCATCACTAGCTCCACTCATCGGTAGGCGGCTGCCAGTCATTGTAAAGGCAAGGTGTGTATTCAATCGCCTCCAACGATACTTAATGAAGTTGAATGCATGGCCCATCTCTCAGGGATTGATCAACGTCGAGAGCTTTATCCTTTATCCTTTTGGATCCTTCTTCAGTGCTGTTCTTCTGCAACAAAGCTAGTATTCGAGTTCTTAGTAATAGAATGTGGCAGAAACAAAGCCCATTCGTTTTCTTCAGGTGTTTCGTCGCACTCAAATGCATAGATTTAGCTCTACATCCTTAAATTAGATGTGCTTGCTTTATGTGAACTTGTGTTAGATTTACGCCATTGGAAAATTACGAAAAAAGACGAAATCGAACTTTTTTTAAGTGGACTGGATATTTGAAGTGAGACTAAACAGTAGTCAACATCAGAGCACTGTACTGGGCCACCGAGTTGTTCACCATCGTACAGTACAACGCTGGTTGACGAACTAGACGTATGCAAAACGACCTTTCTTAACAACAAAATGCAAGTAAGACAAAAAGCTCCACATAATTGGTAGTATGGATTGAACTGAATCTAAAAATGCATTGTCTACAACAGCCAAAAGCGGTCCGTAGAAGGTTGGGCAAATATGGAGCGTCAGAACACTTTAGGAAAATAGGGTCTTTAGCAAAGGGCGATCGTGATACCGCGTTCGTAATCGTCAGGTGGAGCTATCAAGTATAATTTACTCATTACTGTCATAACTTTTATGTAGAAGTGTTATTGTGGAAATGTCGACAACGTGCAGATAAAGCTTCAATGTCTGCGACCGATATTCACCTCTCGCCAAGCCCTCACCATTACTTCAAGCGTTTAAGCAACCTCTAGCTAAGAAAATCCGTAATAACGAAGCAGCTGATGAGATAGACTTCAATGGTTTTCGTCTAGAATGACTAAATTTTCTGTGAGCTCTGATATGTTTACTTGAAGTTAAGGTAGAAAACGAGCAGAGCTTCTGCTACAATTCAGTAATAACAAAGCTGGATATGTGATGCCTGCAAGAAAGTGGTAAACGGTTTTGATAAAGCCTCATAGCTCGTCTTTTCTGATGAATTTATGTATGTGTGAACACAGAATCCTTACGAGTGACATCTAGTGATTCATGGCATGGAAAAGGGCAGCGTGTAGAGGGCAGTGGTCGGAGGCGTTCTGCAATAAACATGGGATCGATCTTGCGCCTTGTATGTTCGCTGTATAACAACCTCGTGATTGCTGAACAAGAAAATGACGTATTTATAAATAAGCAGGCTACAATATAACCAGCACAATTATCTGTGACGTATCCTCAATGTATGAGGGATAGATGAAGGAATATTTGTAGCTTTTTGTCCAAAATTCTCGGCAGTCGATGTCGTTTCCGGGTTGTGCTTGATCATCGATAGCCTATCGTTGATTTTTGAGAAACCAGAAAGAATCTATGACAGTGATAGAGCAATGTATGGAAATATCGGTTGCCGGTTGGCAGAAATTCAACGCACAAAATCCATTCCGAGTGGAATCGACAACTGAGAAGAGAGGATTCAAGTGCTTAAATCAAACATCATTTTTCGACCTTTTTCGCATTGCCGTTACTAACACCACGACAAACACTGTCGAATGGAATCGAACCATTTCTATGTTTTCTTTACCTCCGCACATCGAATACCCTTCGACGCTCGTAAAACACTGGAATCGTGTTGATCAAACATTGGATCGTCTATTCTCGGAGCACAAGCACATGTACAGTAGCGATCGATCAACAACTGCGTTCAATCCCATAATACAGTATATTCGGCCCAGCATT